GCTTCCCCCCGTCCTGGGACCTGTTTGTCTTGGCTGCTTGTGTTGTTTTTGGCATTAGTGCATCTCAGAGAAGGGTTTCTCAATGTAGGAACCAAAAATTCTTAAAGCCGCCCCTTGACACCCAAATCCCTAAAAGCAGCTCAGGGTCTCCATGGAGGCGTTGCCTTCCGTGTTCTTCGATGTGGGCGACTGGGCTTCGACAACGACGGCCCCTGGGAGCTCCTCCGTCTCGAACACTGTGCTTGTTCGCACCTGCCATGTCCCTGTAACCTTAGGCCCTCTTGGGACTTCAGCACAGCAAGCACAGCAGGGCGGCGAAGGAGCTTTTGGATCTTTGGATCTTGCGAGGCAGCAGGCTTCCACAAGTGTTTACCATGCGCACTTCAAGCCTCCATCCGCACATGTCCGGAATTCAAGAGCGGTCCCGTGAGCTCGAGTCTCACACTGCGGGAGGAGTTTGGGCCCCAAGTGCCCCCCCCCCCCCCACCTCCTCCGACTGCTTGGAGACCGGTGAGTCGAGCCTTGGAAGCGCATCGGGCTCAAGGCTTGTACTACAGCCCGATCGAAGCAGCGTCGGTCAAAGTGCATCAACAAGAACAAGACAGACAAAGAGAAGCATCGGAATCAAAATGCCACAGAATGCCACAGACACCTACAGGTGGACAGGCAAAGCTCCCAACACCCGTACTTGCATCAACCTTCGTAGCTGCATGCCGACAGCTACAGTATCGGACCCTAAACCTGGTTAGACTGGCAGCCTGTTGGCAACGACTGAAAATGCCCGTGATTGGCCAAACAAGATGCATACTCTGCACGCACGCCCATCTGCCTCCCTGGATCTGACAAGCCCACTCGGAAGTCACAAGGGATTCGAGCCAAGGATCGTGGGCTCGGCGGCTTCGAGGCTGGATGCCCTGGCATGGTGCAGTACGTGGGGTTGCTGCAGAAGTCAAGAAGGGCTCGTTGAGGTCCCAAGGCTTCTTTGGGCCACTTCCGGACACGGTGGAACAGGAGGCAAGGATGATACACAGCGCTTCCAAAAGGTTCAGAAAGACCTTCTAAGTGACTCTGACTACTTTACTGAGACCTTGGTGCTCCGAAGCCTAAAGCTGAGTCTCCCTCAACCACCCTCCATTCCCGCTGCGCGGCTTCGGTGAGGTGGGCTGCGACTTCAGGCGTCGTGGCGACCGCGGGGCACCTGTCAGAAGGGGGGAGCGGAAGAATACTTGCGACAGGACTGCTGCTTCAGCAGCGGACCGGGTCGCATATATAGCGCACGAAAGAGTGTCGGCTAATGCGTGGCTTGGTGCTTACCAGCGCCAAGCGATGAGCAGTCTTGCATGGTGGAAGCTGCCCGGAAAGAGCATCTGGCAGCAGGATTGAGCATGTGGGAGAGGACGCTAGCTCTTTGCCAAGGCTCCATGCCCCCCCCCCCTGCATCCCCTGCCTGGAGACTATTACACGACACCTGAGCCCTGAGAGTGAAGCAGCAGGCCACCCAGAAATTGCGGAATCATCACTGAGAGCCTTCAAATCTAGCACTCACAGGTCAAAGCCGTGAGAATGGCTTCTGTGGTAGTTGAGATGGGCGATACGCGCGCTCCAAACTCCGGGCAGCCTTTCTCGAAGTTGTCGGAGAGCTCCTGCACGCCGGCCTCAAGCCGATGCCCCAGGCGCTGCACCTCGAAATGCGGTGCAAAGATTTATTGCCTCAACAGCGATCTGCAGCCAGAGCAGCACTGCATCCTAACACTAACGAGCACGAATCACCCACCGCCAGACGAGACAAGCACCCTCATCGTGACAACAAACAACCTAAGCCCCTAACAAGTTTTTAAGAAGTCGGACCTGACCCAGCTGATCGCCGATGGTCCTCGCAAGGGTCTGCCAGGCGTCACCGACCCCCTGCACCTTCCGAAGGATCCAGCTTGCAGTTTAGCTTACCACGCTGCCGAGAAGCTTTGTACAGCGGATAGCGTTGTACCGCTGGCAAGTACAAACAAGGAGCCCTGCCCCGCTAGAAAGACCACCCACAACGATGGCCTCGCCTCTTGACGGCGACTGGCCTCCCTCTCCTCTGACTCCTCGCAGCTCGGTCTGTGAGCTTCCTAGAAGGCTAGGTTGGGCTAGCGAACTGCAGGCTCACTGGGCGATGAGGAGCAAGGCTGGGAAATGCGGAAAAGCACAACAATGATCAAACTGAGACATGGCTTCCAGGCGAGCCCTTCCTGAAGCGTGCGGCGGAGATACGCTTCTAAGAGCTCCAGACGCTCCGCCTGCTCCTCTCATGGCATGGACACGTTTTCAACGCCTAGGAGACTTGCTGAACCGACAAAGCATGCTTAGCAGAGCACTGCCACGCGAACTCAACGGCTACGTAGTTCTGCGCACCCATGGATCCCGTGAATGCTTGAAGCCATTCGCCCATGTGCCTGGCAGCTCCGCTGCGTCGACCTGAAGCCAGCCTCAACGAAGAGTACTCACGTTTGCTTGCACGGATACCAGCGCAAGGCGTTTGACCCCTGACTAACAACACTAGCAAACCCTCAATATTCGTTTCCCCGCTTGTGCCGAAACCCTAATTAAGATTATAGGGGTACTCCACGGCCCGGATTCGCTCGAAATGCCCAAAGAAGCTGTGTCTACTGTTCATGACAATCATCCGAAGAAGGCTTCGAGGCAACATTGAACTGCTACTCGACTGAAACCGACATACAAGCGGATCGTCGTTTGGGGAAGGCAACCTACGTCCTCAATTCATCCACAACCTCATGGGGGCTAACTTCAACAATCCTGAGTCCTGAACCGTAGACCCCAAAGCCTAAACTCCCTGGATCTCACGTACTCGCAACTGTCTCACGTATCGCCTGGAGCTGCTCGCCCAGTGCTCGAGCGACGAGCTGCCAAGCTGCTGCAACGCCCTGAACCTCTTCGCTGCAACTCGAAGGCAAGATCTTCACAGACAACCTAGTGACACCTACACCCCAAGCATTGCACTGCCCTTGATGGTAGAAGTCCTGCATCACCTTAAGGACCCTAAACTGTGCGAAAAATGTTATATTCCTTTTTATGGGTAGTGCAGGATTTATATCATCAACCGCGCCATCCCCATCTCGAAGTGATTCCTGGGTGTTTGAAATCAAGACAAAAGGAGGCCTCCCCTTGCTCAGAAAGCCAGATAGCTGTCCCATCCGAACGGGGTTGGACTTTCCGCTCTGAAAACCTGGTCCAAAGACTGACACGGCCTCCTGGCTGTGCTTCTCCAAAGCCACTTTGGCCTCGCATGTCCGATCCGAAGAAAGCTTTCGTCACAACTCCATCGGAGCTTGAGACAAGGTGCAATCACTAATCACTTGTATACAACGTAAGACTCAAGTGACTGATGTCTCGAAATGGAGCTTGGGGCCAGGAACGCGGACCTCTCCTCTACTGTCTGCATCAACCAGGCCTGCTTCGAAAGCGTCTCTTCTAGTTGCCGCGTCTGCCTCCGCGCAAGAGTCATGCGAGTACCGAGCTGGCCTTTGTGCGTTTGCGTGCAGAATGACGGTCGCCGTGATACCCTTTACACAAGGGGTCGAACCCTGAAGCCCCGAAACCTGCGATTCCAGGAGCCGGATCGAAGTGAAGCTTGTGATTCGGATTGTCTGTAACGTAGACCCCTGGTGAATAAATCCTCGCCCTTAAGAGGGATGATGATGGAATAGGGATCATGGGTCTACACTACCCTCAGCGGAGTCATTTCGTTTGTTCTGGGACTAATTTAGTTGGAACTTACACAATTACTACAACCCTCAGCAAAAACCCTCATAGAAACAGGTGCTCAAAAACTGCCAAACCCAAAACCCTACTCGCTAAAATAAAGTAGAAACAAAGTCTTACCTAAATCCCAGCTCAAGGGCCGCAACTCGGCCTGTCAAGCTCCGTGCGGATGGCGGCTTGCAGCTGCCAGGCGTCCCCAGCGGGCACTTGGGAGGGCAGCTGCGCCTCAACTTTCCTCGAGGCGATAACGGTAAGTTAGGGCCATCAGAGCTTTTTGAAGCTTCAGGGTGTAATGAAGGTCGAAGAGGTCTCGACTATCGCACTCGCAAAGCGCCGAAAAAGCTTCATGACGACGGGCCCAACATCAACCAAGTGGTTCAAGGTTAGGATTTGCGGTGTAGGGTGTGAGTGCATAACCACTGAGTGGTGGGGCAGTTTGAAGCTGTGCAGTCGCGCGCTAACGAACTGTTATCAACACACGCACCTTTAAATGCAGACCTAAAGGAGCAGCACCGAATCGGGACATTGGCACTCTTGCCAGTCCGTGAAATCCAGATTCATACGCGTGGTCCATCATGGCCCTCAACCCAAACAGACACCACACAGATGTTGGTCTTTTTTGCTCTCAATGCTTACGTGATCGGCCGAAGGCACGCAAAGCGCCCAGCATCTGCTGCCAGTGTGCCGGCATGTCTCAATGTTGGTGTCGAGCGGTCCATGCCAAAGAGAGGAATGTCTCGTCGCAAAGTTGCTCCCGAACCCTCCAAAGCATTCCTTCATGGTTCGTGACTAATGGACTACCATTGGCGGTAGACTGCTAAGATCGCTGTCGCATATGAAGCAGCAACCTCTTAACCAAGACCAGCTTGCCTGATGTGCGCCAATGTTGTTGGGAAAGCCATGTTGACCCTGTTCTGGTCTTGTAAATCTTGGGTTTCCCCTGGCCACTGCAAGCGTCCCTGCTCCTTCTTTGGAAGGACAGGGACTGAAACGACTGCAGGAGTTGGCAAATCGGGCAGAACGCCAATGAGAATTATTGCGTTGAAGAATTGTTTGATCCACTTGTCGCTGTGTATGGTAAGAGGATAGATTCCCCATTGCTGGGCTTGGGCCCGGCATGGCCTGAATGATACCTTCCACCAACTCAAGAACCGTGCAGCAAAGGCATGCGTCCGCCAGAACCGAGACTGGAGGCCTCTAGACTGTGAACCTTTGAACTCTTGACCAACAGCTTGCAATGCCTGCAGGGCCAGCAAATACTCGATGGCAGAGTCCTGCTGCGCACCTGCGCAAGAAGTGCGTCAAGAAAGCTTTGGAAATGGGCGCACTGTTACCACACTCAGAGCCTGGCACCAACACCCCTTATGCGAAGGAATACTCAATACTCCTCAAGTTATCTCCAGTGTCTCTCGAGAGACTCGGCAGTGGAAGCGAGACTTACGGAGTATCAGTGTCAGGCTCTCTTGGCTTTCAGTGGAGGCCTGCCATTTCCACGTGCAGCTGCTCTCCAAGAGCCGCGAGCCAGGCGTGGCTTGAACCGGTGCTGCAAAAGACGCGGCAAAAAGAGATTGCTAGCTTCGCTCCTGCATCCTACCGAAGAACACACTTATGAACCGCACTGTGGCAGTAATATCGTATCACCCTCGAGGGCTCAGCTTCGACTCCTAGCCAGGCCTTCATGTGCAGCCTTTTCGTCAGATGCAAGCGCCCGCATACCAAGCTGCAGACCAATAACAACTAGCCGAGCGCGTCGGCCCTCTGTCAGAGCATCCAATCGGTTACCTGTGTGCTGCCTGCGCCATGCTTCGAGATTATACTCTGTCAAGACACCTTACCTCCATGCGGGACGAAACGAGTCTAGGTGCCTAGCTGTGAACCCCAGGCAATGAGCTCGACAGTCTTTCTTTATAGGGCCTGGCCAAGTTGGATTTCTTCCTTTCACGAGGTCGAGCAGTAGTGCGGTAGCGTGCTGATCTCGGCTCTCATCGGCCCGCGCACAAAACTCCCGGACGACGGGGGCTGGCGCCGGGGGCGACCTCGGAGCACCAACATTCGCTTCGAATCAGTGCCTTCAGTTCCTTCGCTGGAGATAGCCGAGGCATCGAGTGACTTGAAGTAACTGCCGCTTGGAGGCTCCGCGGCTCCGCTGTTCGTGTGACCGCTCGGGGAAACCACTTCAGTATCCTGCCGCCCGCGGATCGAGGCTGGGAGCCGCACAGCAAGCTTGGGGCACGGCTCAAAAAGAGCAGAAAGTCCTTTGCTGGGCTTCCCATCCTTGCCCTTCTTCCCATAGCCCTTGTTGTCGCCTTAGCTCAGGGGGCCCCAGCCCCAGCCCCAGCCCCGGTCAGTGTGCAGGCACACTGACCTGGGACCACAAAGGTGCAACGGGAGGACATGAGCACACCCAAACCCCATGGCTGGTATCAACTACAGCTAAGGCAGCTAAGGTGAAGGGCTGCAGTGACAGGAGAACTCGAGATTTCAACCGCCCTGAAGAAACTTGGCAGTTTACGGTGTTCGGCCAAGCTGCCTCCCTTCTTGCCTTCGCAGAAACAAGCGATCATGAGAGCATGAGTGGAGACACCCTACTGTTGGCGGCACTTCGAGCTTCGCCAGAGCGGGTGGGCTCCATGCACCCATGAGCTCATGATCAGAAAAAGCCAAACTCAATGCAGCTCTACAACTTCTGCAAACCGATCTCAAGATTCACGTAAAGAAACCCCAAACCTCCTTGCCTTTGTCGAACCCACGATGGTAGCCGTCCTTGCCGAAGTCTTTGCCATAGCCTGCTTGGAAAGTCACTTCCAAGAGGTGTCCCTGCAAACATCTGCATCTAGTCCAGAGTGGAAGGGCTTCGGGGCACATTCTGCAGCATGCTTGGCTTGACCATCTCGGTCGGAATATCTGGAACAAGTACCATCGGCAAACTATGCGCAAGAGATCGCCCTGCATTTTCACCCGTCAAGAAGAAAAGTTGAACCAAGCAGTTTTCGCGATTCACCATTACCCCACATCCGTGCAGGACCTGGGACCTCAAGCCAAAGCCCCACTCTAGGCCGGTCACCCTCGCGCAACTGCCGATGCCAGCGTGATGACCATCACCATGTTGTTATCATCTCTCTCCCTCATTTTGCCACGGTGTACCAACGACATGGATCCAGCCTCCATCGCCCTTGAAGCCGCCCTTGAATCCTCGGTCTCCTGCGAAGGCACCAGACATGCCCGACTTCCCAAAGTCCTCAGTCCCCGTTTTCCAAGAAATAATCGAAGACCTGAAAGCCCCACGTGAGCCCCACAACCCGCCATGCAAGTCTGAAACCACTGCGGCGAACTGCGCACTGCGGCACTACAGACTGATCGGCAAAACTCTGCATTCTCCGCCATAAGATATATGTCTGAAAGCATTTAGGGTTTGTCAATCAACAGCACTGCCTTCAGCAACAACAACACCCTTGGAAAGCTGGAGCTGTACCGGCCCTTGGTCACTCTGTAACTTGTGCTGCTGGCGTGTGTCCATGTGTCCTTTGTAGCCCTTGAAGCCGCCTTTGTCCCCCTTGTAGCCTGACGGGGGAATTCCGATTCGCTGTGGGTTCCTCTTTTTTCAGTGGACAGCCATGAGTTGAAGGAAGGTTTAGATGCGCAAGGCATAATGCCACGAGGCCGCAATGCACCTGGGCCAGTACTTGGACTCAGCCATTTCCGGAAGCATGGGGCTCAATCAGGTTTTGGGGATACTGCGTGCCTCCTTTGTCCATGCCATAGCTGTTCCCGTAGCCCTTGAAGCCACCTTATCCGTGAGGTTGGCACATGCGGGACCCTACCACGCAGCAGCAAGTCACGGTCGCGGTGCCTGCGGCTTGAAATCGCCCACAAGATGCACAATACCACCACACTCATCTTCAACACAGAACAGGCCCAGGCTCAGAGCTGAGTGCTGGGCCCCCGCCCCCCTGGTAGTGCTGTGCCTCAGCCGATGGGACTGCAATGCACTTCTTCTTCTGATAGACACTGTACAACCTCGATGAACACCCTGCAAAGACCCTTTCAATGCTTTATGCAACCCTTACCTCAAATGAGCCAGGTGGCCATCTGCTGCTGAGGTGGCGGAGGCGGCATGTGCGCCTGGACGTCCAGTTGAAGCCTCACAGACTCATCGCCTGGACATCAGAGAAACAAGTCATTGAGTCATTGGGTGATGCGACGACCCGCGCTTCCAATGAAAAACAAAAGCACCGGCTTCACAAGTGGGACTGCTGCTGCTGCATGGAGGCCACACTCGCTCCCATGACCTGCTCCTTCAAACTCGCCCCGGCTTATTTTGGAGAGCTCGCGCTGGTTTGGGGTCCCTGCCTGAGTCGAGCTTCCTTTGCCTGTCTCGCCGAGCGGCCTGAGGAGCAACGAGTGATATCTGAATTCGCGTGGGATTTGGGCATACTCAAACCATGAGAAGTCATAAAAAGAGGCCGGAGCCACAACACAGCATCCGACGGCCAAGCACGGCTTTCATGTTGCAAACTCCAGCTTTGGGGGCCTCTGTGAGCTTGACGAGGATGCTGAAGTCACCTAGCTCCTGTCGAAACGAACTCAAGATCCAGCAATGTGTTTCCGGCAATTTGCGCGCGATAATCCTGTCGCAAACCTACTTGCGAAAGACGGCCTGCAGAATGCCTTACCATCCGGCCTCCTGCGTGCGCTTGCTGGTCAGGACCTGTGTGTCCGCAGCCATGTCAACAGTGTCCTGGCTTGCGGTGTTTGGAGGCCACTGAGGCACCCGTCCTAGAACTGCGGCAGATGATAGCTTCGCTACGAATGCGCTTAAGGCTCTGCCGACGATCAACCGTTCAATCGCCGTCCGGCGCAAACCCGGCAGATGCAGTGCCCACACTCACGAGGAGCATTCTGACGCAGGCAGGGCGTACTCACAAAGGGCTACTGCGAGTGCTACGCAAAGGCTTGAAAGGACATCGAGTCCAAGACATGTGAATCTCGTCTCCTTCACCAACTTCTCAATGAGCTCGACATTGGTGTTCATGCCATACTGTTTCGGGAGGAAGCTCTTCCTTGGTGCCACTGGGGTCCTCAAAACTCTGGGCTGAACCTTCTACGCAAACCACTCGACCTCCCAACTGGAAGCTAGCCACAGCAATACAGCGGCCGGAACAGTTAGCAACGATGATACTGCGCCCACGTGATCCCCACATAAGTCTGCTTTAATATGCCACGAAACCCTATTCTGGTAGTCAAGGCTTCCTGTTTCTCTCGAAAGGTAAATCCTTCCACAGCGGCCGAGGCTCTTGAAGTATTTCTGGTAGTAGAAGCCCAGGTTCGACTCATGGATGCCGACACCTCGGAAGGAGCTCGGTTTTTGCGAAGCACGACCTGACTTTGGCCGCACTGGCTTCGGCGTCTAAGCGGATCGAGCACCCGGCGCTCTGGATCAGCAGCATCCTGAAGCCAGGAAGGAAGCTTGCGGCCACGTGGTCCGAACGAACCCGCAGGCAACGCTAGCTGCTGGTCTCTTGAGAACCTTGGAAGTGAACTCCCCTCTGATCAAGAAGTCCTTCTTGTAAGGAAGCATAAGACGAGGCGAAGAGTTCCTACAATCGTAAGAAGGCCCTCCTCACTCTCGGAACCCCCCCCCCCCCGTCCGGTCCTGCAGAAATGCCAGGGTCAAGAGCGAGAGCTCAGCTCGCCTCGGGCTGGAGCCGCGCTGGGAGTTTCCGAAAATGGGGGGGACCCCACTATGGTACCCTAAATAGCAAGACTAGTAAGATCCCTATCATAAGGACCCCGGTACCCCTAGTGATCGGAATCTCCCAGTTGCGGTTTTTGCTCGAAACTTTCGCCTTCGGCCCGATCCGTGCATGTGGGTGTTGAAGATACAGGAGTGAATGCACCTGCATCTGAATTAAACACTGAATGTCCGGAAGCCTTCACCGGACGGAAACAACCCTCCGATGCAAACATTGCATCAGAAGACAGGCCAAGTTGCAAATTGACCAGTACCCAATCCTGCATAGCATGCACCCCGGGGAACATGTATCAGCGTAAAGAGATACACTGTTACCTACATTTACCTACAGACAGAGACAAGAGACCCAAAAAGCATCTGACAGACAACAACAGACAGGCAGTCTGGCAGAAAGCGTCAAGGCGCACCTATATTCCTGCTTCTTGCCTTTAATCTCCAGCTCGTTTCTTGCTCGCATGGGCCGTGAGAGTCCTCGAAGGTGAAGAGCGCAAACAGAGGCGTCTCATTTCCTGAGTTCGGGTTCGGATCAGCACTCTACCGGCTTCTGGACAAATGTAAGCTTCAAGATGTAATTTCAGTGCATGCCAACGGCTGCATGGCTGTATCACGACCGCTGGCGAATGTACTGTAAAGGCGTCCGGGGGAACAACGAGGCATCGGGTGAGTGATTCAGTTCGGGTCCAGTGGCGCACGTTGCACACATCCTGCACCGACATGACGTCAACCTGATCAAGGAAGAGGGCGCTGGCACTCAGCACTTGGATTGGCTCGGGCTGCCTCTGGTCTCACCAAAAAACACCGTCGGGCGCAGATATACCCGGCAAACAGATCCGGCAATGCGGCCATACATCACTCCGAAACTCAAAGGCTCCTGAAGCTCTGCCTCGTGGACGGGCTTCTCGGGTGCCTGTGCAAGAAAGGCTTCTTCAGCTGGGTCGGAGGTCTGCAGATTTTTGGGGGATAAGAGATATAAACACCGCGCGATTCATTCCTCGATCGGGTGCCCTCTGTCTGAGCGCCTTGGGAGCCGTCGCCTCCTTCGGGGCCTCGGGCGCCTCCCCGGCGGACTCTGCCGGAGGCGGGGGTGCCGGTGGTGGCGGCACCTGCCGGGCCACGAACCAAAGCGAGCTGTCCGTTGTAAACACGCCTCTTCCGCGGGAGTTGCAGACAGAGGGCGAGGGAGAAAGAGAGAGAGAGAGAGGGGCAGAGACAACTATCTCATGTATCATAGTGCATATGGTATACGCGAATATGTGTATTTATGCAATTAATGATAAGCACACCATTTTCTGGTACACATATACAGCCTGCATACGTACATGCATGAGTATGCATATACTTGTCAAGGGATCCAGGACCCTCTGACTTGCCTGACCATCAGCGCCCTCTCCTGCAGTCGCAGAAGGCGTCCTCAGCAAAGGCAGCAAAGGCTTGGCTGAAGATCAGCCGAGCGGTTCCAAAACGCGAAACTCCTGTAGAAGTGAAATCCGGCATTGCCTGAATCCGCCATGTGCTGCTTGTCTCGGAGCAAAAAGCCGATCATGGCGCTGATACTGTTGACCCTAAAACCGGGAGACAAGCCGAGAGAAGCGCACCCGACATCCGATAGCAACAAAGCTGTTTAGACTTCCAATGCCAACAGGCGGCTCTGCTGTCGGCTCGGTGGCATCTGCTGCCGGAGGCGCAGCCTTCGACCATCTCACTCACTTCAAAGTCTTGAAGACGTGTTCTTGCAAAGGGGCTGGCCTAGGTGGGGGATCCAAGAATGGCGGCGGGAGGGCGTTATTTTTTGGGCTTTTGGTCAGTCATCGTCATAGCGGCCACTTGCGTGATGCGTGGTGAAACACCGTCCTGAAAGCTTGCACCCCTTTCGGAGCCTCTGCTGGTGGCTCAGCAGCAGGCGGCGGCGGTGGCGGCGGTCTCATTTGGAACCTTTGGTTTTTGGCCATGAACTTTTGGAACAAATGTGGATGCTTAACAATGTAAGGCGCAGGCTGCGAAAGTTGGTTTGGGTGCCAAGCTTCAAACTGTGGTACTCATGCGACTCTTGCCACGTGTCTTGCTGGCGAGTAGGAGTTGCAGTTGCTAGCATGTCAAAAGCAACCGCCGCTATGCCACTCACAGGGCGATCGACTAATCCCGTCGATCAGAGCCAGGTGGACACCCACTGCGGTGAAAATGGGGCTGTTGACTGCATTAGAGCCTGTTCCAGTTCGGGATTTGGGCCCTTGCTTCTTGAAGCCCAAATGCCCGGGCGCATTCTCAAAGGTAGGTACATGCCAGCTCCGCGATGGCAAAAGATGACCGGTCCTGCAATGAAATACCCGAAAGCTCAGCCCTTCCAAACCAAAACCAAGCAAGCCTAGCAAGGAGCTTGAACCGGACAAATCAAGGCCGCCGAAAGACTCCCTCTGCGTAGCTTTCCAACCTTCGAGGATGCCCTGCCACTCGGTGAGCTTGGTCTTGAACCTGGACACTCCATGTCAGAGAGCACAGTACCATCTAGTACAACACTTCTAGCACAGCAGAGGGTCTGCAGCTTCAGAGGGTATCGACCACAAACAGTCGCCGGCTCAGCATTAAGAAAACCCTTCGGGGGCTCTCAATCGGACCTTGCGGTCGTTCAAGATTCCTTGTTGGGTTAATTGCAACTCCTTGTCCCGGGCTCCCTCAACATTCTCCAGAGACTCTCATAGAGCTGCCTGACACTCCAAAACCCTAAGCACTGAAGGGCTGGGGACTTGATGATGCCAGCTGGCACCCATCGGATTCAGTGCTTCTGGGTCTCAAAGACTCAGGATCAGGCCAAGCCCAACAATATCGAGCACCACAGACAACCTCCTAATAAACCCAATCGGGCCACCTCGGGCTTCATTTCAAATACAGGCAATAACACGCCTTCAACAACTTCAGACCCAACTACGCCTTCAACTTATGCCTAGAACATCCGAAGGCCAAAGCAAAAACAAGCAGCCACTCTCCCGGAGCAAGGTCTTCGATCTTGGTGGTGATTTTACCTTTGCTTTGGGAGCGCAGGCGCTGGGAGCATTTCACGTTGGCTGATGTCTTTCAGCTCCCACAGACCCTTGCTGCAGTTTATGCGCGTCCTCTCGAACCCTCATTCGCCGGACGCCCAGAAGAGTTGACAAAAAAGGCAGTTTCTCTTTGCGGACAGACCAAGTTCATTCTCAGTGAGGAGCGAGCTTTGCTCGCAAGGTGGCTTTGTCCCGAAGTACAACCATTGGCCATTACCTTGCCGAGTAGCACTTGCGAAGGAATTGCCTCAGCCGTGATTGCCGGAGTCATGTTGCACACCAGAACAACCGTCGGCGGGGCTGTGCCATAATCGCTAATGTTCAAGCGAGCCATCTAACCCACGGTGGGAGGATCACTAAAGCACGCGCCTGTCTGCAAGCACTTCCAGAAGACTCCAAAAGAGACTTCGAGTCGAGAGGCCCCAGGTACTCCTTGGCACCTGCTTCCGGCGCCCAGCTATAGCGGATGTCGGCGAAGCCCTGACAAAGCGAAGCGGCGTGGATAAGGCTTGTGCGTTTAGGGCCCACTCGGGGGCCAATTAGGTTCATCAAGGTTCAGGGATCCGTGTTTCGCAGATTGATATGTAGGCTTTCCTTGCAGTGGCTTGCAGCCTGGTGGCGCCCAGCACTCGGGGCCGTGGCCCGTCTTTTTGCTTTGGAAATGATTTTTCATCGTACTACCCAGAGACCCCAATCAAAATCCACATCGCCTTAATCATACTGAAGGTAAACCTCGTTGCAGCTGATGTTGGAGTGGACTTTCTTACAAGTGAGTCATTCAGACCCTTGCACCCTTCGGCTTTGGCATCCTGCCTCCTCCTTGTCTGGGATGCTGAACTTCGAGAAGGATCCTCCGCAAGGCGCAGGGTGCAAGGCAAATCTTCAAATCACCTTAGTACTGTAGTACCTCTAGGCCCCTACATAGCGGTAGAGCCTATCATTAAGATACGGGGCCTAGGTCGCCTTGCATCGAGGCTGTGCAGCAGAAATGAAAGACTCCACGAAGCCTGAGAAAAAACCAAAACAATGAAGTTCCAACCTATGCCTACATTCTACATACACCCTGCAGACCCATTTCCAAAACAGGCCTCCGAAGGTCCAAGCCGCCAGGTCGGACCTTAAAGGCCACTTACCGGAGTGACGAACAAGGGGCTTTTGCCTGTGGATGTGCGCCTCTCGCCTCAGCTCTCACAATATCTGCGGCCCAGATGCACGGCCTTCTTCTTGAACCATGTGGCCTGTCCCGAAGCAGACGTGTGTTGCACGAAACCCTCGCGCAAGCCCTGCAGCACACACAGGCTCGCTTCGCCGCTCTCCCACAGCTTACTGCGGCGAGCCTTGTCTGCATCGTCGAGCTCTGCGACTGGGCATGGCTCGTCTGGCTCCTCAACACGAAGTATCGAAAAGAATCGAAGACACACGAAGCTTGTGATGGCTTGTATCAAGATATGGGTGGGTGGATTCTGGGCAAGTCGCGGCCCGAATTCAACACCCAGCCTGGTAGCCTGAACAATGCCGAGGCATGCTGCAAAAGGTGTGTGAATGAACATGTGGAACATAGATTTTGCTGTGGAAGACTTGAGGGACCGCAGTGTCCTCTGGTTCCTCCTCTGGCTTGGGTTCCTCCTGGACATCGGCAGTGGCGGCCATGGACGTATCATCAGCACATACCAGTATCATGCTTCGACTCGCACAATGCAGGCACGGCTTGATGAGGCATGTTTATGGGGAGAGGAAGGATGGTAGGCATTTCACAGCGCGGCCTTCACCTCCTCTTTCACCTCCTCCTTGACCTCCTCCTTCACTTCCTCTTTTGCCTCCTCCTTGACCTCCGGCTTCACCTCGGTCTTCGGCTCCATGGGCTCGTCCTTTCCGGGTTCGGCTTCCTATCACCCGCTCTTCCCGATCAGGTGGCTGAAGGAATCGGCAACCTCGGCTTAGAGGTCTTAGAGAGTCCCCCGCGATGCCGCTAAGCACTAAAGGAAGAATCCCTGAAGTTTCTCATCTGGTCCTGGATGTAAACCCCAGCCCCCCCCCCGCCCCCTATGCCCCGTCTGTGACTCCGAAACGGCATCCCCGGCCCCTGCCGCCTTCTTTGCGTCTGCGCCTTCCTCCGTCTTTGCAGTCTCGGCCCTGATGCTCAGTGCCACAACAGGTGCAGGCTTTAGCGTGTGAAAGTGAAGGGATGACCCAGGCACCCAAGTACTCAGTACGCTTCGGATAGTCGCATACCATTCCGCGGGTGCTGGATTCATAAATCTCAGACTGCACTTCCTTAGGCCTGAAATCCCAAGGGCGACGCAAAACCTGAAAGGCAGTGGCCTGGACTTTAGTCTCAGCTGCAGTTTCCAGATGAAGGTTTCGGAGAACGAGGGCCCTAAAACAAACACTAAATAAATATGTACTACGTGCGATCGATATTCACCAAGGACCCCTTGTTACGAACATGCCGCTTTGAAAAGGGCCACCTCGAACCTTTGCCGGCGAGGCTTAGGGCTTAGGGCTTGGTAGAGCCGCTTATCGCATTCATTGAAGGCAGGTCGCTGGAATAGCAACTTTATCCCGTGTGAATCAAGCATCCAGACTTCAGTATAATGCAACGCCTTACAAACACGTCATCCGAATCCCAGATTGTGCTAGCCGTGTCGATGCCTGCCTTTGCAAGCGACCGTCGAGTGATGTGAGGCTGCATCCTATCTGGGCCTATCTCCTACTATACCGTTTGAAGATGTGATCATGCATTAAAATATCTCGTAACTATCATAGTATTATGTGATGTGGTAGTATACTTATCCTCCTTCATGTGCATGTTCTTGTTGCATCGCTCCTGCGACTGTGGAGGCTGACCCACCAGAAGCTGTGACACCACCCAAGACAAGGAGCTGTTCCATCTTGACCTCGCCGGCTGCGGCATCCTCCTCGTTGCTGCAAGCGATCAGAGTGAACAACGTGTTCTTTCGGTGTACTGACGGAAAGCTGAAGCAATGCGTTCCTTGCAATTTTCCTGACAACCCAACCGCTGCTTCTTGCATCATAACGATGGAGGGTTTCCGTCTCGAATGTCTGAGTCTAGATCTAGACAGCCCATTCTCTTCCGCGCCCGCCTGCTTTATCTCGGTCTCACCTGCTTCAGCTGCCGCAGCGGCTGCTGCCTCCTTCGGTTGGATGGATTCAGGCGAGCCGAACTTTTTCTGAAACCTTGCCCGGTCTGAATCGTCAAGGTAAGGTTGCAATCTGCTAGACGTTCGTGTAACCTGCACTTCGCACTCAGCTTGTGGAGTGCATGGCATGTCTACTTGGGACGCTGCGCTCCCGAAAAGATCGAAAGACTGGTCTCAGTTCCTCCCCTTACCTCTCCCTCCCCGCTCCACAGCTGCTGCGGCGGCGGCCGCAGCTGCGGCAGCCGCGTTGGCGCGCTCGATCTCCTGATCGCACCATGCTTGCAGCCGCTCCGCAATGATGCGTGAAACTAGCTGCTGAGGTCTTTCGGCACCTCCTGTCTGAGCCCGTCAAACCACATGACCGAATCTTGTCTAAGCGGCAAGGTGCAGCAGTGCAGGCACATTTCTCCGCGGTATGCCGCACATGTTACAGTAACGATGCCGGCTACGATAGATGCCGATCTTCTTTTTTGGGAACTCACCCAGCCTCGAGACGCTTCTTCGCCTCTTCCTCTGCCCGCTTCTTCGCCTATGCAGACGGGACAGGCCGATAGTTGCTTCGCTGCCGCTGTCTGCTCTTTAGGGCTTCGGTCGGTGGCCAGCTTCGGTGCGTGTTTTACAGGGGCGCTTCAGTTGCCTCCTCCAGCTCTTTCTGCCGCTTCCTGGCGATCCTCTCCTGAGGAATGCAAAGAGAAACGCGGCAGCTAATCTCACACTGATCCTTTCTCAAGGCCTCTCCGCCAAGCCTGAAGCCAAATAACCCGGAACAAAGCATCAATCCTGGAGCTTCATAACAAGGCAGTCCTGCTCTCGTTCTGCTTTGCGCTTCTTCCATTCCTGGGTTACTTTCTCCTGCTTTTCCGCCAATAGCTCCTTGTGCACCTTGCGTTGGTTTGTGGCTAGCGGCTAGCTGCACCAGAAACAGAGAGCGAGAGAGCGAGAGAGAGCGAGAGAGAGAGAGAGAGAGAAAGAGAAAGAGAAAGACAGAGATAGAAAGAGAAAGAGAACAGTCGCGGAAAAAAGCAAAAAACTCGAAACCTGCAAGACAAGCGCAAGCAGCCTTCTCTTTGAAGTCGGCAGGAGGCTCGCCCATGACCACCTCCAAAGAAGCAGGCTTCGAGTCTGCCGCAGCCCGAACAAACACCTGCATGGCCATGCGATGCCATGCGGTGCACCTGGGCCACTGTCTTGTAGCAACTATCTGCGAAGCGCTTAATGAGCTGCTCCCGCTCCTGCGTTCGTACTGCGAAGATGAGCGAATCCAGCGCGACGCCGTGTCAGAAGCGATTCGATACCCGTCCTCTTTTATGAGGTTTGACTTGACCTCCATCACCTCGGGTGAGCAAGCCAGCGCACAGAGCACAGCGTGTCATGAACTACACCTCAAAACGACAGTGCCGAGCTGAAAACGATGCCGGTATGTTTTCAGGGAGACACCAGACAACACCATCTCAAAGGACATCCTTCGCGAACTTCCTGAGGCCGTGGCGACATAGTTTCTCGGCTGCAAAGGGGCCACGGCCTGCACGACTCTGCAACTCCAGAGAGAAAGTCTCCAAGCTCACTTGGACCGAGCAGAACTCGAATGACTCCGAGACAAGGACTTGCGGTTCCAAGCATATGGCATGTCTCTTGAATCTGGTGATCTTGATGTTTGAACAGTCTGAAGTGGCTGGACCCAACAGAGACGAGTAGAAGATCACGGAAACGGACAGGCACAGGCACCTGGATCATCCGCCGAGCGGAGAAGTCGTCCAAGTAGGGCACTCGGAACCTGTCAGCTCGCGGCTCGCCCGAAAGCGAATCAAAAGGGTGCCCTCTTCTTCGAAAGCTTCCGGTTGCAACTGTAAGCTCCCCAAGTCCGCAGAGGCCCTTCACTCCATGCAGGCCGTGGTGCTGCACGTCAGGCTTGTCGTTGCAGTGCCTCGGAGCAATTCTGATTATGTGTGTTGCTGCCGTGCTTTTTTGCAACCTTCAGGTAGTTCATGCAGCTGCCCGGAAAAAAGGACAAGGCCATCCTTCAACCCCTGGTGCCAAGCTGCTTCCAGGCTTGTCCCTCTCCGAAGTGGAAGCCTTTCTGGTGTCAGGCTTTGCTTGGACCAAATCCTTTTTCTTAGTCTACCGAACATCTGGGTGCATTGTAGCACGCCGGTTTGCTTAGGGAAGTAAGTCCTTGGTCACAAGTGCGCGTTGCTGGGGTTATGGCAACCTATTATGAGCATGAGGTGCGTGCCAACGCCGGATTGTCCCACCCCAATCTGAAGCTCAGCTGGGCGACCGCTCTTCTCCGCCCACTTCAGAATGGCGCGATCGGACAACCTGAGCTGAAGAACTCATGGCCATGCATCATGCGCAAAGGTCCTGGGACAGGTATGACACGGGCATCGGAGAAACCAAGCAGCCGAAAGCCCAAAAACACCCCCTTAACGACAAATCCAAGACCATACCTGCGAAAGGCATATCCGTCTTTCTGCTGACCTGGGCATGCTCAGCTCTGAAACATCCTGAATGGGAAATGGAGGGAGGCCCCATGACCGGAGGCCAGAAGGCTCAACAAACTTCGGGTTCTTGGCCAGGAAGTCATCCAGCCAGTCAAAGGTTCCTGGGACGGGGGTGAATCGCATTGAGCGTGCCTTACTTCGGAGTCCCAAACACAACTCAAAGGATCGTGGCACTTAGTACAGGGCTATGAACAAGGTAACTACATCTATGATTACTTGTAACCTCATTTGAGGTACTTGTAACTTATAACCTTCCTTACTAAGTCCCATGACCCTCCAAGAAGGATTCGACCACTTGGGGTATGTCGGGCCGCCTTCGTCAGGCACCGCAATCGGAAAAAGGACCTCGAACTTGTCATCCTGTCAGTGCCGGCGGCTGGGGGTAAGGTATTCCAGAGGCCTCATATGTCATATGAAAGAGTATAGCAAAAGCTTCCTTCAACTGAACAAGGGATCCGAACAACCCAACTGGCTCCAGGTATCTTCCTCAATTCAAGGATTTCGGGCATTTTGGGCATATAGGAGATGTCCCTTGGCTCGGCTGAGGGTCTCTGACGTCCGGGTCTTTCCTGGGAGGAGGAAGCAACAGCATTCACCATCCTCTATGAAACCTACCTTAACCGCTAAGCCACTAACACCTACTTTGTTTGGTAGCGTAAGAACCTTAAAATAGGTTTTGGTAGGTTAAGGTAGTCCTAATACCTCACGAGCCAGAGGCAGCAGCTGTCAAAGACCCCTTGCCTCAGGCCTGTATCGGTTTATGTAACCCACTGCACGAACCTCTGTTGCCAGATTCAACACACCCTCCCCACCCCCACCCCGGAGTGCCGTACGCAAGGGCCGCCTTCGGCTTCGCTGGTACCACTGCGTCTGTGACGGGAGCTTCGGCGACGCCGAAGCATTTGAAGGCTAGCGGCCTAGGAGCAACAAACATCGCGTAGGGCGTAGAGTCCCTCTGGATACTTCTAGTCTTTAGTCTAGTTGTAGTCCCACATATTGTGACCATACCGCGATACCTGCACCATACCAAAACTATGATGATATCCTCTTATAATCCCAGCTTGTTTGCCTCCGACCTATAATCCCAGATTAGGTGTTCAGGCTTACGACGGCTTGTTTTGCCTCCTGCCTGGCTAGGACGAACCTAGGATGGTCGAGGCTACGGGATGCTGAGGGGTTAGTGAGTTCCTGAGCTAAGGATCGGGAAAGGGGTGCAACTGTTCACTGCGGATTCCCGGATTCCCTCGGCATGTAATTTGGATTCACTCTTCCGTGAATGCCCACGTAGGCAATTTAAAGCCGGCCTGTGTCAGTGAAGTTGACGGGGTATTTGCCTGCTCTCTCCTGTTCCGGGTGTGGCAATCCAACCCATCGCGTTACTTACCCCTTCGCATCCACCTGACAAGCCCGCCCCCTTCAATCGAGCAAACTCACGGCCAGCAGCGTGAGCGGGGAGGCGAAGTTGACATGCAGGGTCATGTTCTTGAAGCAGACCTCAGATGCTGCACAAGCTTGACAGTGCTTCAGAGAAATATCCTAAACCGTGGAGCCCTCTATGATCCGACCTCAGTCGAGCCACATGGGGGAAGAGGGTCTTCCCGACCAGTGCCTCCGGCAGCTTCTGCGGCTGCGCAACGCGAACGCCATCCTTCCAAAACACACTGAGGCTGCTGTCTTGGGATCTGGGAGATTACCGTTGTTTCGGCATGCATGCCCGCACAAGTTGTTGGGGGATTGCGTTAGGGTAACAGGGTCTAGTGTCTAGTGTATTCGGGTCTGCAGCTAGGACTAGGCCTGTACCACATTGGGGTTCGGGGCGGGTTTATCCTCAGCCCCCGACAGTTTACAGAAGGCTCTTGTCAGCTCTAACCTTGCTGATCTCAGGATTCCTTATGGGAGTTTCCCAAAATAGGGGACCCCACATGCTAGAGTACCCTAAATAGTAGGATCCCTATTATAAGGACCCCCAAAATAAGGTACCCCCAGTTTCCCATACAAGAGATGCGTTTCAGTGCATCTGGCGACCAGGTGTTGACTCAGGGCTCACCCGGCGACAAGAAACATCCCAACACTTCAGAACTCCATCCGAATTCAAGCCGCGAAGCTGGTATGCTCGGGATCTTTGTGAACCTCTGTGAGGAATTTATTTAATGGCCCGCAGCCACTGACTCCACCAAGCCAAGCAGCTTTGAAGAGAGACACCTGAAAACAGCAGGAGCTCCAGAAGACTGATCAAGGGTTTTTATCTGGGGGTCTGAATTGGACCACAAAGCTTGGGCTTGAGTGTCCCTAAGCCAATCTCCGACTGGCTACGTATATCCAGCACGTTCAAACGAACCCATAGTTGGAATGGTGTCTTGACTTCAGCCAGAACTCGTCAGCACACTCTGTCTCTATTCTTCTCCCTCCTTAGCCTTGAATCCGACTTGCCGAGCTTGTAACCACGGAACAGGTAGCAAACCAGCCCCCGTGGCCCACTCGCACTGCTTGATGTTCATAGGAATGAAACGCCCCCGAAGCTTGCAGCCGGGTAGCGGTGTTCTTGTTCGGGCTAGCTCCATCGAGGTTGAGGAGCACCTGAAACACAGCTGTGTGCTTTCGCTTTCTTCCCTGAATCCCCGGATCTTCGATCGGTTAGAAGCAAAGTGAAGTCCATTAAGAGAGAGATGATGGCAAATAGAGAAGCCAGACCGACGTAGGATTCCAATGACCTCTCGGTGCTCTAGCCAGTGCAGGTCCACCAGCTGGGCAGTCGCAAGATCCCGCGCTTCTGACCGCGAAGTTCCCGTTGTCCGAAACGGACACCCGAATGTATTCAGGACTTACTAATTACCTGATCATACAGGCCTGCACACGCTTGCTAAATCAAGGGGAACACCCCGGACTCGCTGAGGCACTGCCACCGTCTGATCCCGTCCAAGAGCGAAGCGCGGGGCGAATTGTTCTCCTGGGAGGTCACACCATAAGCGGATGCAACTCGACAGATTCCGGAGTCTTCGGAGTGACGTCTAAAACATGTGTTCCAGCAACGAAATCCAGACCAGCTGCGCTTCTGCTCCGCATTGTAGAATCCCTGCAAGGACCATCGGGTGGTCGGTGGTAGTTAGCTGCAGGGCTACTGGGCCTTTGCTAATGCTGTTCTAATTCCCAGTTTCAGCTTGGGAGACAACTGTTCATAGCAGACCGTAAACACGTATAGCACACGCTTCTCAACAGATCTCGCGAAGCACAGGCACAGGAATTCTCCAAGTCCGGACTGGCCTCGCTGTCGAAGAAGACAGAGTCGTCGGTGTCTCCCAGAAGCAGTGGAGACCCCTGAAACAACGCTCCGTGTACCCAACGCGCCATAGTGTCACCACACTGCTTGATGATGGATAGATAGACAGGTACGTAAATAGATAGATAGCTAGGTAGACAGAGACAGACTTCGATAGATAGGCAGATAGATAGATAGATATGTAACAAGCTAGCTGCCGAGCTAAGTGGATAGACAGACCGCATGCTGTGCTCAGATAAGACTACAAGAAGTTACATGTAGGTCGAACAGCTTAGACTAGACACTAGACGAGACAGATAACTAGGTAGGTAGATAAATAAACATAGTCAGACACATGCATAATCGATTAGATAGCTGGATCTAAACAAATAAAGGTAGACAGACAGATTAAGATAGCTAGATCGACATATAATACAGACAGATCGATGGATGGATAGAAGGGTAAATGGGATAGATAGACAGCTTGTGAAGCGAATCCTTGCCTCTGTGGAGAAGCCGAGCTTCACTATATTTCTTCCAGTGCCTCGGGACGGCATTCAGACGAAGAGCAATCCCGCAGATACTGATACTCCATACCAACTAGTGTCAAGACTGCCTGCTCATGAGGACTCAGACTCTAAGAACTGGTCCAGAGAACGGAAAGAAATCATCACTGCGAAAGCTGCATTACCAGAGCCACTGCCGCCATCACATGTCTAGCAAGTAGACAGGTAAACCACACCAAACCAAACGAAAGCAGGCATGTGCAACGAACATGAGGATCATCTCCTCTGGGCCCTGAGTGTTGATGTTGAGCAAAGTGGCTTCTTCTGTATCCCTGCGGACCTCTGCAGCACAGGGATGGGCTTGGTGGCTGGGCGGGAGTTGGATGTTTTCAGGCCTTACACGGGGAAAGACTGACTGATTCTTCAACGATCGCGGACAGGAGCATGCCTGTTAATGCTGTCCTTCTGGCGCTATAACTTTCCGGAGTTGTTCGGCCAAGCCTTCGCCCGGATTGAGAGACTCCACCAGCTTCACCTCGTAGAGGTAGCGGCCCTTCTTGATGCCAAGGTTTGCCCTTGCACCTGCAGGCAGTGGCAGCGGATTGCGTGACGACGGCGAGGGTGGCACAAGTTCTAAAGACCAGCATCGCACGCACACCTGTGCACAAGCGAGACAAAGGATGCTCAGAATGAAGCGTGGTCGCAGCCGCGGCCTGCTATGAGGTACTGCACACCACCGTCCGTAAGCTGCATCAGCACGCGCCCGCCGAGAGAGGGTATGCAGTTCAATGTGCATTCGGACCTCAGCAAGAGCATTTGGCTGTTTCGGAAGCTTAGCAGCATTTTCTGCACGAATCGTTTAAGGACCATCACAGCCTTTGTCAGCTCACCCGAAGCCGTCTAAGAGTGCACTGTTTTGAAAAGCCTTTCCGTGTGACCCTCCCGAATCGAATCGCAGAGATTTGCGGCTCGAGGGGCAGGTCGAAGCCAGCGTCGCTCTTCAACCTCGTCAAGCAGAGCGCTGGAATGCGGATATCCGCTCCATTTCCCCAAAGCCCCAAAGAACCCTACGTTGCTGTGCTAGGCCACGGTTTCGCAGAGCTCGGCTTGGCGTCGGTTTCGAGCTCGGGTGGTGGCCTGGGCACGCACAGGACAGCTTCGAAGCCTTGCTCCGTGGTTCCGGATATATACATACACACATACATGTGCCTGCCTACACATGCAAGTATGTAGAAACATATACATGCAAGTCACAGTGCGTACTGAACGCATGCGTGCATGCATGCGAGTATGTGTGCATGTGTGTTTGGTATGTGTGTAAGTATGGGCATATGCATGTGAGCGTATTTGTGTCATGTCTGTGTGTCTGGCTTTGGCTATTCATGCGAACCCTGAGGGCTGAGTGCCCCAAATCTCGCTGGGATCGGTGCGCTTCCTCCTCGGGGGCATCGGTCTTCTGCCGCTTGGCCTGGCAGCCGAAACATGGAATCCCAGCCCGAATCCAAGGAACCTCATCCGCGGGACTACATGTGACTACGTAGGCCCGTAGGTCTTGGGTCGGCACAGAGCGGAGTCCTGAATCATGGCAAACTCTAAGGCCGTTCTCTTCCCAACCGGATATCACATCTTCTCTAGCCTATGACTATAGGCGGTTTCTTTCACTCGGAGCCCTGGAAGCCCTCGCCCCAAAAAAAACAAGCACGTTTTGCGACTGGCCTGCGACTCCGCCAGGACGAACATTCGACCGCAATCAGTCATTGAGTGATGGGTGCGCTCATCTACGCAATGCACTTACCTAACCAGGCCTTTTTTCTACCCCGCAACGCCAACACTAAAGGCGGTACACCGGGAGCCTCGGGTTCCGCCATAGCTCTGAGGTGCCCCCCCGGTTCCCGCTGCGCTGCGGCTCGAGCCGGCTCAAGGGCACAAAAGCAACGAGCGGACAAAACTTCGAGGGATCTCCAAAAAAACCTGTGCCATTTCAGCTAAAGTAAAGGGAGAACTTCGACTGCAATCAGCAGCAAGAAATCAGGCCTAGCCCCTCAAACTAAAATCAATTTGCATCGCGATTGCTCCACGAGCCCCAGGCCGTGACGAAGACACGCCAGCTGCAGAGTCTTTGGAAATCCGGGATTGGGGCCGTCCATCGCGCACTCCATGAGCAAAAACGACCACTTCTGCAAACTTGGAAGGTGCAGCAACCGTTTCACTGATTCCTTTTCCTGCTCTCTTCCCAGAAAGCGCTTGCAGAGAAACTCAACCCTCTACTAGTATTGAGCAGGAAGGGCGGGCATCAAAGCGTGGCATGCAGCATGCAAGTCAAGCTCCGACATGCGGCTTACGCAGTTCACGGCTGCAGATGTTGCTTCAGACTTTAGACATGTCAGTAACTATATGTCTACTCGCTAGACTTAGTGGGAGGCTACGCTTGTCGACCCTTCAACGACCCCCTCTTCAGTAACTACACAAGACAAACGCACAGTTCACTGCAATGGATACCTTACCTAGCACTGCACCTTGCGAGAGACGCACGATGAGGCTGCAAATGCTCATCAAACTATTTCCAAAGCAACGAGGCAGGGGCAGTTCGCATAAGCCCATAAGCATTGGAGAATCACGGAGGACCCCGTACATCCTCACCCCCACGGCTGAAAAAAACACCACCATCGAGGTCACTCGGGCGGAGAGCGTGGCGTTGGCGGCACCTGCAGAGGGAGCCTGGGCCGGCCATGCAGCGCGGAAAGGACCTCAACCAGGCGGGCCAGGCTATTGTCCAGGCGATTTAGCTATTTGGGTCTTTTTTTTCGGAAGGGAGGGCGGGGCCGAGGCCGGGGGGGAGAGGGGGCTGTAGCTTGGTATGCTTCTCGATATGTGCGTGTCATCCTTGCCCTTAGGAGTTTCAGGACTTTGGGGGCTTCGGGTTTGGATGCTGGGTAAGAAGCTATCTGGGCCTAAACGGCCCTGTGCGGGCTCTTGGGCTCGTTGCTTTGCGTCAGGCTTGCTAGCATTTCAAGAACCCAAACACCGCTTGAAAAAAGAGACTGCTACCCTTTGCCCAATAAAAAGCTCCACTTATCCTTCAAAGGAATGGGTGGGCACGAAACCCTGAATCCGAAAAGAGTAGGTAGCTACGAAACCTTGGACTCCGAAGGAGTCGGTGGGTGCGGAGCGCTATGCCCTACTGGCCCGGAACCTGGTCATGTCTTACCAATGCAATTTGCAGGAGTTGTCAAGACCCAAGCCATACTCTCGTGTCAGCCCTAAACCCTTCAAGAAAACGCAGCTAAAAACGCAAAACCCTGTGGGCACTCCCCTGTCTCGTAATCTCCCTCTGCTGTAGGCCCTAGGCACATGGACGCAACTTTGTTTTGTGCCCCTGCGCTTTGCTTTCCACCACATGTCGGAGCCGCCCCAGCGACTCCCGCAGATCGAAAGGGAGGGCCTGGTTCAAGGCAGTGGCACAAGCCAGTACATGTGGGGATCAAGCTTGGGGGTCGGGGCTTCAATTCTCGCAACTCGCACGAAGCAGGCAAGGACTCCGCCTTATCTCCAGAATTGCGCATTAATAAGAGGAACTAGAGAGTTTTGAATCCTGTCAAGTGCCCCAGATCGTATCATTGCTTGTACTCGGGAGCAACTTCTTCTGCAGAGAACCCTGAATGCCTGCGTAGGACAAGGCCCCTGTAGCAGGCCTCTAGGATCTCGCGGCGGCGAGCCTTTCTGTCTCGGAAACCCAAACGGTGCCGGTGCAGCCAATGCCGAGCCTAGAGTCGCTTCATGGTGGGGAGGAGATGTGAATGGTTGTCAATATCAGGGTCCCTTTTGGGGTCCTTATCATAATACGGCACCTAGTATTTAGGGTACCCAAAAAACGACCATAATTTTGACAACCACCCATGCGAGGATCGAGGTCGCGTCGATACTGATGAAGGTCGTGCGTGGGGCTAAACCCATTATGGATCGTCACGAGTTTGCACCTCTCCGGCTGCACTTTTCTACTAGTGCTGTGTGCGCTACTTCTTCTGGCGATGCTCGTTCTTAATGCCGCACTTGATTGCATTACTTGTTCTACTCGTGTTGCTCCAGCTGCTTAGCTTTGAACCAACTCTCTTGGTTGAGGAAATGTGTGCAGCAGCCTAGGCGAAAGCTTCTCTGAATGTTCCTGTTGAGTTCCCTTATCCCCAAACCCTAATCTCCAAACCGACGCCTAAACTCTTACAGCGCATTCCAACCAAGTTGAGCTTTAGTCCTGCAACTCGAGGAGCACAAATTGCGGCATCGCCACGAGAGGTGAAGAAGCTTGCCTCCGCCATCCGAAACGTGCAAGGCACCAACCAGATCTGCCAAATGAACAGAACCCCAGGAACTCCCACAGCCACCCTCAAAGGTGGCCCCAAGTACAAAAAAAATGTGAAAGTCTATGCAAGCAAGTGAGGATCTTTCAGGGGCCGGGGTGCATAGGCTCCATCGCGTAGCACCGGGTGGCCGATGTGGGCCAAGTGGCTCCGGATCCTCGGAGTTTTGGAGAAGGGCGGGGAACATCCTCCGATCGTCATCACTGCCTGGGTCCACTGTCACTCACCGTCGTGTACCTTCTTACGCGCGTGTTGCGCTGGCTCTTCGGGCAAATCAAGCACTTTTGCACACGGCCTCTTCCGTTGGGAAAACTCGCGTCGACTAGACTGTATCTCTTGGCTTCTTGAATAGAAGGAGCGGCGCTCTGCACTGCGTGGTTTTAAAGAAAAACAAGCGACGAAGAGAAGGAGGGGGTTCCTTCATTGCGTGGTTGTGGCGCAACACAGGCAATGAAGGGCGCCCCTATATGGCGGAAAGGAGATGCTCGCTTGTCCCTTCATTGCGTGGTTTTGTGTCACAACAGAGTGGCGGCCATGAAGGGAATACAGGTTTGCAAATTCAAAGAAATCAAACTTCTTGACACTTGCGGCCTGCGACTTGTGCTACCCACTCGGCGATCCATTTCCAAAAGTTGGTGGGCGTTGCAGTCGTGGGTCTCCACAGTTTCCGTTCCATCCTCCTCATCGCCTGCATCCGCTACAGTTTCATTGCCCTACGGGTATCCTCACTCTGCGTCTGGGCCCCTGTCTGTGCGGCAAGTGTTCCACTCTGCATTGTAAAGCAGCCTAATGTGACTTCTATAGTGGCTCTGAAAGTACGAAAAGCTGGGGCTCTGGTGCTTCCGGCCGGTGCAAATCTGCAGATGGGACTGGCTGACAGAGCCGACCTGGCGATTGTCAAAACTTCGCTCACGCGGTTCGTAGCATGAAGCAAAGCGCACCTACAACGTCACCAAGTATAATTATGGCGTTCACTACCTCCACTAGCCTGTCCATCCCTCCTCGCCTCGCTCTCTGCGTACCATTGCAAGGCCACCAGAGTGCACGAAGGCTTCCCACGGCCCCCCGCAAGGGTAGGTCCATCTCCATGCCAGCGCAGACGGCTGTCCACCTCTTACTCGCCGGTGGATGCTACATTGCATACATTACATTCCAAGCTCTAACACTCTGTATGTGTGTGGAGAGAAGAGATGTGGGCAACGATATTCAGCTTGACCCATCTCCACACCAGTTTCTTTATGCAGTATGTAAAACCTTGACATCATGCAGACAAACATAAAGGCATCAGGCTGTGATGGCCTGTGAAAGACCTTGGGACGGACTCTCCTTCCCTCTGATCCCAGGCAGCAGCATCCTACCGCTGGACTTTGCCCGTCCACACCTGCTTCACAGAAACAGGTAAACGGCCATGGTGAAGAACGGTGTAGTCACGCTGCACTTGGCCAGAGTGCAGCTGGACCTGCAGGTCGTAGTAGGCTTCGTAGCCTTGGCTCTGCCACTTTTAGGATTCCGCCTTACTTGATTCCGCTATTACGCGCAGAACTGGCTACTTATACTTGTGGCCTGGTTGTAGCACAAACAAACGAGACTTTGAAGCCTGATCTGATCCTACCGTGTTTTATAGGGGTTCATCATAATTACATCATTTATTACCATGTTTTTCTCAGGAAAAGGCTGGGCAGGGCCAGGGCGTCCCGGCGGCTCGCTGCCACCAGGATGAGGCCGGAGCTGGGCACGTCGAGGCGATGCAGGAAGCCGTGGTAGTGGCCCGGATCCTCGAAGATTGGCCTCCAAGACCCGGCTCTGCTGAGCAAAACGGGGTTCCTGTTAGAGCGATTCTCTTTTTTTACGGTTTGGGATTTTGGGGTCTCTTTATCGAGTAGAATGGACGATACGACAGTGATGAAAACGACCCAGTGTCAACTTGTTCTAACAGCTTTCAGCAGAAGTTTTGGGAAAGCAGTACTCCCATGCATTTTGCCTCCCGTCTGCTTCTGCTCTTTCAAGGGTCTCGAACCTTCACACGATCAAACGAATCCTGTTCCCCATGGCCTCAACTCAAGCCTCGGAAACGGAAGATCCCGTCGCTTGCCGATGAACTTCATAGCAGGAGAACACTAATTGGCCGTCACACTTAACAGACTGCAGACACTGATGCTAAGCACGGCTAACTCAGCAAGCAAGCATATGCAAACATCGCTTCGGAGCCTCGAACCCAAAACATCGGCGGCGAACGAAGACAGCTGTCGCTTGGTGTGCCTGCCGTGTCAGATTGCTTATAGGTCTTGCCATGTAGAGTTGTTCAATCATCCGCGCACGGCTTCAGGTCATCACCCTTAATTGAAAGGCCCCGCAACCCGAAGTCCGCAAGATATACCAAGTGCATCCAGCATGCTGCCCGTAGACTTCCCAGCCAGCTGGCTTCAAAAGCACGGCTCGGTCAGAATCCCGCATCACAAGCGCAGGCTTTGAGTCCTCCCACGATTTGTCGGATTCGACAACCACTTTTCAGAGTTGCGCATGGCCGTGGAACGGTGCACTGCATATGATTGCTGCTGCGCTTCAGACGTTTCCTTGCATGTACAGCTATTTCTGCAGCACCCTAAGGCACAGCCAAAGCTTCCGAGCTGACAGTCCTCTGGCGAAGGCGACGATGGCGGTGGCGACCAGGATGCTTTCTCTAGAGTGCCGGGCCGGCCGGGCCATGTGGCGTCCCGAGCACGGCCAACATGGAGAAACGTGTGGCGTAGGAAGCGCCGGAACTGCTGTGAGAGGCAGCCAGCCAGGTAGCAAGCGAGCATAACCTGGAAAGGCAAGGTTTGAGTGCGTGGGAATTAGGATGTTGAACTCAACATCATGCCCTGTGCAGTCAAAACACGCCAAGAACGTGCAAGCCCTCCCGTGTTAGCATCAGACTCTCCACCCTCCTGGTGTCCAGAAGACCACGCAGGATATTCAGCACCCGCCGTTGCCCTGCTACCTGCAGCTGCTCTGACAGTCTCGACAAGGGCCGCCTACCAGAACGACATGATGAGAAGTCTATAGAAGTCTGTTTGACCCTCTGGACCACAGAATCCACAGCCCAGCTGCCAGTAGTCTGGCAGATTCTGCTGAGGGCACTGACCCAACACCCCATGCAGCTGTCACGAGCTCCTCCAGGCTAAAGTCCTCCATTTCTGCGGTGAGCTCTGCCAGGCACCTGTGGTTGTTGGTTGCACTGCGAGCAGAATTCATAACAGCCTGCTAGGACTTCTTCCTGGTTCCAGGATCAAGCTGCCGGATACCCGACACTACAGAAGCTTTCTGGGCAAAGGTAACAGAAGGAGCAGACGGTCGCGATAGTACAACGTTGACAGTAGACTTTAGATCCTGAACTGGACCCTAGATCTAAGAAGGGTAAACTGCAGACGTAATGCGACATCTCTCTCTCTCTCTCTCTCTCTCTCTCTCTCTCTCTCTCTCTCGCTCTCGCGGACTCAGACGTAATACGACCTACGCGCAACAACTCAGTCAAAAACCCCTGCCTCTGGAAGGTTGGGTTCACCACACCAAGCGCAGAGCCGGACGACCAAAGTGAGGCCAGCTCATTGCCAGAGATGTGACCTGGTGTAGTGTAGACGTGTTGGATATCTGGGCTTATCGGTGCAAAGCGCTTACGCTGGTAAGGGTGCATCGGGTTTAGGTTTAGGTTGCGGCGCTGGAGTCACAACCCTCTTTGGCAAGGAAAAAGTTCAGAGCCATGGGCCAAGGGGCTTCGGTCACTGCGCAGGTGCAGCAGAGCCCTGACGCAAGCTTCCTGGATCACCTCTGCCTCCCACGTACCCAGCAAGGCCAAGCCCCAGAGGAAGGCACTGGGCGAACGCTCCTCGGACAACGGCCCTTTTTGCAAACAAGTTTGGGGATGAAGGATTGGATGATTGGATAGTTTTTCGTTTGGTTTTGTTGAGCTCCGTTTCTGCGACGGCTTACGACAGGGTTTGGGGCCTGGCTCCCAGAATCGTGTTGCGGCTGGACATTGGGCTTTGGCCGAGGCTCGCTGGACACCAGAAGCAGCCAGAGATGATCCAACTCCCCGGAACTCTCGCAAGCAACCATGGCCGCATCGCACACGACAGGTGTCAGCTGCATCGTCCGTGCGCGAATCTGGTCCAGCAGCCTGATTGCAAACCTTGCAGCTGGGAAGAACGCCTGGCGTCCCTTTCTTTTAGGATTCTGGGTCTTCTCCGGGTGCAGTCGAGAAGCTTCCACGGCACTCTCCCCGCTGCGAGTGCGGCGCTGTATGACCGAACTGTGGGCTGCAGAGACTCCTGTCAAAGCTGCCAGCGGGAGCAAATGGATCCAAACTGACATTTCCAAGCCCTGGCATGACAGCAGACTGGCCGAAACACATGCACGCAACTTACAACCAGAAATAGGACGGAACCTATATGCATGTAAATATACTCTGTGGCGACAGCGAGTGACCCAGCACTGCACTATATCGCCGTGTGTTGCGTACACGACAATACTACAGCAGACAAGGGAACACCAGCTCGGTATTTCATCGCAAAGAAGCGCATACAGCAAGCAGGACATGCACTGCGCATGTCATGCTGCGACATGTTGCTAAGACCGCTCCCTCCTCGTACATCTCCGCAAGGATTTCGCCCGCCACCGCCCAGCGCCCAGCACAGGCATCAAGCACGCCCCCATGTGCAACGATGTCCAATTCCACCTCAAGAGAACCCCGACCTCCCAGCTTGCTTGCAAAAGCTCTAGCATTTTCCAAGCACCTGTGTGCCTTGCTCAAAAAGCGAACCTGGGTGAATTTGCGCGGAACTTCCACATTCCCAGCTCGAAGAAATCAGAACCTCCACCGCAGCTCCCTTTCGGATCATTCGCCTGGGCTCGCCGACCCTCTGCGAGTACCGCTGCAGCGATACGCCAGGCGGATTCCGCAGCACAAGTTCGTGCGACAGTAGCGTAGGAGATGACGTCTGCACCTCGGGGCGTAGGCGGCGCAAGGTTGGTTCCCAGTTGCAACTGATTCACGTAGCACTGCTGCAATCCTCCCTCTACAGAGGGACGTGATGATAGGAGATGTCGAACATGGGACGCGCACGCACCTCAAGGCCTGCTAAGGCCAGTGCCTCCGCAAGGAAGGCTGCTGAGAAGCGAAAGCGCATGCTGCCATCGTCCGGCCTCACCACGATCTGGTCAGCCCAGCCGGAAGACATGAGAGAAAGGAAAGCAGACTGAGAGAGAAGAGCCCAAGAGCCCTTGTAACTCTGAGTTCTCAATATCTCATAGGACTTTCTGCTTTGTCCGTTTCTTTCAGAGAGAGCCTGGCCTTGGCCAAGGCTGCCAGGGCCGTGTTCTGTGCGATCTGGTCGCAGGGAAAGGAGGCCTTCACCATCTCCTCATAGAAATTCCAAGCATGGCGAAGCCGAGACGAGAAGGGGCAACTACAAGGGGACAAGAAAGGCCCTCAAACTTTCAGTCGATGCAACGTTTTTTTCGGCGCACTAGGCTGATGCAAGAGGGGTCAGTCACCCGGTCCTCCATGAGCTGCAGGGCCACTTGCCATTGCGCACAATGTCCGCAGGCGCCCAGAGCTGCGTTGAAGGTCACCTCGGTAGGTCTGCGTAGTTTCGGCGCTTTCCTTCATGGAGGACGCGGAGCCGTCTTCTTGAGGCTGGGCCAGGCCAGGGCGCGTTGGTGCACCTCCGCTCGCTCCGCGCCAAAGCCAGAACCTCCAAGGCCAGCTCCCAGCGACCTCCCATCTCGCAGGCGCCGAGCCTCGAACCCATCCCCTTCCCCTCTCAAAATACAAGTAACTATATATAGTCCCGCGAAAACCAAAGATCGGAAGCCACGAGGCAGAGTGGTGTAGCTGGCGTTGCTCCTCAGCGACAGCAGCACACCAAGAGTCTTCAGAACCCCGGTACTTGAACCGTACACTTTGATGCCTGATGCCCACGGGATTTCGGGTCACGACAAGACACCTCTCCAGACTCTCGGTGAAATGGTCGGTAAAAATGGCGAGAGCCATGGCCCACTGAGCACAGCGTCCACATGCAGTGATGGCAGAGTTGAAGAGGATGGTGGTGCATTGTAGCTCGAGAATCCGCAACTCCTGCACTTCAAAGGCTTGAGGCACTGCCCGTGTCGAACGCTGAACTTAGATTACTACCCCGATTGCTCTGGCTGGAGCGTCCTGGAGAAGATGCAGTGCCGAAGTCCAAATCAGACCCTGCCGGTGCACTGTCAATGCATGTTGCTCCAACACGAAACCGTCAAAATCGGAATGCTGTTGGAACGGGTCTCGGCCTTGCATCTGAAACAGCCCTGCCTCGGCCGCTGCCATGACGGCGGTGCTGGTGCTGGTGGGATCAGGCGTCAGCCTCCTCCAGCTCGCGCACTATTCTGAAGCAACTTGCTATGCGATACCAGGTGTCCAAAAATCGGCTAGGTTCGCTCTGTACATGGCTCTAATATGGCCTGATCAACAAGCTTGGCCAAATCAGTCAATGACAAAGTCTCCATGTCCCCAACCGGATCCTTTGCATGAGCAAGTCGTAGACTGCCAGCGCCTCCGAATACATACCAGGTGCAAACAACAAATAAATATGGAATGGTCTTGAACCACCCCAGTGTGGATTGCGGCAGTGCCGTTCTGCTGAAGCCGCATTTGTTGGAAGCGGCAGGGGAGAAAGCTCAAAGCCGAAACTGGCGCAGGCTCCGACACCGCCGCACTCGAAGCTGTCAAGCCGCCAAATCGCCGACACAGCACACGTAAACAAGAGCTATAAATGTAGCCATAGTGCCTGAGACCACGCGCCATCGGCCCAGAGGGCCATCTTCGCGTTCTGCGCGCCAACATCTCCTCCGCCCAAGGCATAGGGCCAGAATTGTGGGGCAACACCCTGGTGGGGTTAAAGGAGACCAGCAGGGACCACTCAGTACCTCCCGACTTACATCCTGAGTAGGCAATCGGCGAATCCAGGAATCGTGTTCAAGTTGTTCGGCTCTGCTTGGGCAACGTCTGTCGAGATGGTGGTGCTTTTGGTAATTTTTGGTAGGAGCCGTGGCAGTGGTAGTTTCCGCAGGACAAGGCGTAGGGGGAGTAGGAGAAGCAGGAGTAGGAGCAGGCGCAAGAGCAGGAAAAGGGGAAAAGCAGGAGCAGCAGCAGGAGCGCAGGAGCAGGAGCAAGCACCAGCAGTAGCAGTAGCGGTGGGAGGAGAAGGAAGAGGAACAGAAGCAGGAGCAGTCGTCCTGGTCGTCGTGGTAGTAATTTCTCGTCGTCGCCCCGGTATGCCCTGGTACTGATTGTGGTCGCAGGGGTGGCAGGAGTCCGCTTCATGGTGCTACGAAGGTGGGAACAAATTGGCAACACCATGTCAAAGCTGTGGTCCGAGTAACCGTGATCCAAAGCGGCGTCATGGTAGCATAGTGGTCTTGTCACCGACGCAGGGGCACGAGGAGGAGGCCAGGTGTGGAGGTGGAGGAAGAGGAGGAGACGGGAGAACAACACCAGTTGCTGACGCAGCAGTAGTGGTCGGTTTATGGTATATAATAAATGAAACGAAAATGCATGTGAAAGGCACTTAATTTTTTCTACTGTCGGAAGTCGAGACTTTGTGTTGTAGTGGTACCAGTTAATTATGTTTCTGCCCTCCCTGCCTTCGTGCGCCGCCAGCAGAAAAGCTGCCAAAGGCCACGTAGCTCCGCTAATGGCATGAGCAGCAGCCGTTGTAGCCACGGCCTCGGATTGGAAAAAGGTTTCCCCAAAAGTCAATCATTGCTGCCATCCCCCGCTCGAGCAAAAGCGTTCCATCATGCATGTCCACATTGAATTCAGTTTGCTTTTGATCGACAATAACCGGCTTTGCCCAGCTGCATTCGACTGCAGCCGCCGGCTGCCGAGGCACGCCAGTCGTTGTAGCGCATTGCACCACCTTCGGTCGTAAGTGCAAGAAGGATTCTGAGCGAAAAACAAGTAACTGCACACCTCTTGCGGTTACGGCTGTGCGCAATTGAAACGAAACCAAATGACAGCGAAACGACCGCTTCAGGTGGTCCCTGTCCAGAAAGAAAAAGCCAAGTCTGGCCTGTGGACTTGCGCCTCGGCGGCAATGACTGTCGACTGGCTCACCTTGATATCAGCAGGTGCCGAGATTGTGCTGAAAATTTTCCGTCCACCCCTGACTGGAACGAGAGTTTGCGTGAGCACCAATTAAGTTTTGTTCGCGCACGGAGTTGAGGTCTGCGCGTGCGAAATCAACCCGAATACTACTAAGATTTGATACATGCTACCAATATAATGCAATTGTAGGCTTCGATACAACCACAAGTCACAAGCTTAGAAACTACTCCAGTTCTGCTAATATAGGGGCCTCTAAACCTGTAACCGTTCAATCATAAGTGTACTACGGGCACGATAGTTTTTCCTTTCGACATCGGCCCTCGATCTCGGCTTGCCTGGCGCTGCCGGATCGGAAGGCATATACGTTCAGGAAAATTTTTGGAACAAGGGCACTGGAACGCGGCAAACGTGTCTTGTTCAGCCCTTGACCATCTGCCAAATTCCGCAACACAACCAACCCGCGTAACCTGTGGACAAGCCACGATCAGCGGCAGCCGCGCACGAAGCTGGCGAACGGACTATACTTTTTTTAAGAGCAGAAAGAACGTAAGTGTGACGGCAGAGGTGGGCATGACCCTGCATAGCGTAGTCACAGTTAAAGCAAGCCCGGTGTTATTGACAGGTTGTTACGGTCGCATCCGTTTGCCACGGCTGTTCAGAAGCCTGCTGCCCATCGGGAAAGCAGCAGTAAGCGACTGTAGTTTGAGGTAACACTGCCTCACGAAGGGTGCCAACGGAAAGGGCTCGGCTTGCATCTTTGGCAACAACTGCTCAACAAAGCTGCATTGGCTGGCTGTGTCTTCAGTTTGATCGCACACAACATTTCTATGGACAGTCCCGGCAAGTGAGAAGCCACAGCGAAACAGTAAAGGCGACCAGGCCCTGGCGGAGAGCAACGAGAAATTGTGGACTCGCAATAACAAGATCACATCATGACGACGTCAGGTGGAAAAACCGTCATACTGCGTGATGATACAAGCCACTATGCTTGTCACAGACTCAGATGACACTTTGCATCATGTTTAAACACTGACACGAAACCTGCATGACAAACCTCTCCAAGCTACTCCTCGAAAGAAAGCCAACTGGATGCCCTAATGATTTTGGCCAAATAGCTACCGTGATGGTGTAGAGCTCAACTCAGGGATTATTGTTTGTACATCTCCGTCCTGGAGCAGCGGACAAGTGTCCACGGGATGTAACACATCCTCTATCATCTGCTTGCCCGGCGAGGTGGTAAGGATGGCCGTCTTGTACATCCCATCAACGGCACCACCAACAAAAACATGGACGCTGCACTGCTGCAACACCGCAATGGAAACTCTCCAGAGAGTATCTGTCCATGCCGTGAAAAACTGACAGATGCCAAATGCCGCGGAAGCATGCGACTGCGCTTCGGTGCCATGGTCCAAAGAGGAAAAAAATGCCTTGCATGAAGTGCGTAGAAATATCTTCGAGCTTTGTGTTGTAGAAATGCATAGGAGTACGGCAGATGTGGCGTTGTCGAGGTTGCTATTCAGCTCCTGGCCTCGAGCTCGCCACACATGCGCTCGAGTGCATCCAAAGTGAAGTTCTCCAAGGGCAAACCTTGCTGCGCCGTCTCACGAAGCTTGCGGAACTTCACAGCTCGAACCTCAGACTTGTCAATGACAACCGGGCGTACAAATTGCAGGGTCGGCCCGCCCCGAAGACCCGCCATGCATGCCCGCTTACAAGAACACGCGGGCTGAAGCGGTTTGAGCCCAAATGGCTACGGAAATGGGATATAGTATTTTTGTACAGCAGTTATTCCGACCTCCTTCTTACCACAGAGAACAAGGTGCAAGGTTGCCGAGGCCGTTCTCGTGTTGCAGCTGCAGGCAGTGTCGCCACCTGTGCTGGAGGGTTCAAGGATTCAGCGATTTGGGCTGTGGACGGTTTTGGGGCTTAGTATGTCTTCGCGCTGCAGGGAAGTATTGAAGGGATGTCGGTCTGGGATCAAGACGTCAACCAAAATCGGCTATGTTGTTGCAACCTAGGCACTTCTGGGCTTTGGCACAGGAGTTCAGCACCATGTTGTGCAGGATAGTCTTCCTGCACGCGCGTGCGCACACGCACGCACACACACACACACATAACACACACACACACACACACACACACACACTTGGCTCCACGTGAAGTACGATGAACGCCATGCTTGCTTGGGCCAGTCCTCGGCACAGCAGACGCCCGCAGCTCTTCGATGGTCAGCAAGGCCTCCAGCTTGGGCAAAGCCCTACTGTAATTTGGACATCTCACACTGGGGCCGCGTGTTCAATACAAAGGTGCCCCGCTCGATCCCTTAAGCCTTACAGCGCTCTCCTTCGTCTCCCGGCCTGCGGCCAGGGCGAACCCTTGAGGCGCTTCGGATCGCAAAGTGTCATGAAGTCCTCCTCCCCAGAGACCGAGAGGCTCCGACTGGCTCCGAAGACGGAGGTCATCTGTTCGGGGAGACGGGTTTGGAGCTTATTGGGGCCTGCACCTCCGAATGTCTGAACTTGCGCCATCTACGTAATCCCAATACGGCAGGGAGTTCTCAACACAGGCTCCTTCCAGCTCCCACCTGTCCTGGACAATCCCATGCGCGGCTTTCATGAGATGGGCTGCTTCTGATTCAGAAGTCTACACAGGACCTTTCACATGCCAGGCGTTGAGAACACAACCAATTGAACAACTCTTACGACCTTTTGCGTAGACACTCTTTCTCTCTCGTGGTCTGTGTAGAGCAGCTATTTCGAGGCGTGCTGGCAGAGCCAGGAAGCTGGCGGAATGGATGAGCGTCAGAGCTTCAACTCTCGCAGCTCGGGCAGTCCAAGAGGAAGGATGCGCGAAAGTTCGAGGGCCTTGATTGAGAAAGCTATCGAAGCATCGTCTCGAACACACGTACAACACCATCGAAATTCCCATACTCGAATGGTGGCCCTCTCGGAGCTCAAGGACTACACACGCAAATCAGCTTTGACAACAGATCTCAGCCTGTGGGCTGGACGTGCTAAACTTTCGATGAGCAAATATTCTACTAACAGGCCCACAGGAATCTGGTCATTGTCTCCGACACAGATCCAAAATGTCACAGGTGAGCCAACTTGGGAGTGTACAAAGCGGAAGTGTCTTCGTAACATTGCGGCACGACAACCGTTTAGTATCGTGGAGCCTGTTAAGGCGATGCAGCGAGTCCAGGGGTGTGGACTTTGAGTCTATCATCTCGTGGCAAACCCCGAAAGGGAGCCAGTCCTAGACAACTGAGGCATCGGCTGTCAGTCAAGCCGTCCTTGCCATGCACGGCAGAAGTGTCAGACAACCGCTGCAAAGACCCAACCAAGAGTCTCGAATTGCACAACGGACACTATTCATGCCGGACGGAAGGCAGTTAGTTACCCTAAACCCTGCAAACTTCAACCCCCAACCCTAAAGCCTTATAGGCCTATCAGCATCACGCATCCAAGGTGTTGGGTGCCCGGGCAGAAACCCGAGGCCCACATGAGGCCACCATCGCCGCAGTCGGGGCGGCTGTTAGGGTTTTAGGGGGCTTCGGGCTCAGGTCCTAGACTTTAGGGTTTCAGGGTTTGGGGTTCAGGGCCTTCTCAGGGTTCTGCTGTGAGGATGTCGGGGTTGGGGTTGAGGGTTTAGGGTGTCCAGAAGGAGGATGCAGCTCGTCGACTCGTAGAGCTCAGGCCCAGGAGATTTCACGGAGCTCTCTAAACTCTTTTGCGTTCGCGTTGTCTGGGTGCGGCTGGAGTTGATTAGGTGCTAGTACCCATGCGCAGAGTATGGGGGCTGCAGGTAGGTTGCGGCTCCTGCGAGCTGCAGGGGCTGTAGGCTTTCTGTACTAACTGAGCCGCAATCTGGCGGCGCGACAGCTCACAGCCTTCCCAAGATTGGCCAGTCAAGATCGATCAACAGGAAAGGAGTTCAAGCTTTGCGGATTCTCACTCATACGATGGAGGACTGATCGACTCCCGAAGCTTCTGCTGGGCCCCTGGGACAAAGCCGAGCCGATGGCGTGACCACAAGCCTCCTCAGTCCTCAGCAGAGCGCACCCTTTGACCACGAACCGCCACGATGCGCTTCATCGCAGGGCTTCACCCGAGGCCGCAGGCAGAAGCCATTCCCGGGAACTAAGACCCCTATGCATGCACAAAGCAGCTCTGAGACTGATGAAATCCTGGGCCCGGGCCGGCGGCCTCCGGCAACGCTTTGGGAGCCCCGTCTTGGAGCCGGGAGAAACACGACGGGGAGGCACGGAGCGCACCCCGTCGGTCCGTCGGTGAAACAGCGAGAACGCCGCGTCGGCTTCCGGCTCAGGCTTCTGCATCTCCTGATGCCAGATGCATGCGGAGAGTGTATCAGAAGCGTACATGGGCCTCCCTTGCTCACCGTACACTTTTGCCTGAATCTTACGATTGTTGTCTCGTGTCAACATGCATCGACACGCCCCTCAGACATCAGGCGACAGTGTCAGGGCCCTAATTAAACCTGGCGATTAGAGGGTCCTGCCGGCTCATCCTCCACCGACTCGCCGTCCTGGTTGCAAGGCTTGCAGACTGCTACTGCTTCTCCTTCTGCTCCTTCTTCTTCTCTTCTGCCACTACCGCTACCGTCGCCGCTACCAGCACCTCTATCACTACGTCTGCTCTGTGACGACGACTACTTCTCCCACTGCAACTTAACTGCAACCACTACCATAGTATCTGCTGCTACCACCACTGTCACCAACAGGCCAAAGCCTCAACTGCGACGGACCGAGGCCGCAATAGGACTGTGTTGCAACGCTCGGAGGCACCTCGCCGTCGTCCTCTGGAAGTGCCTCGGTCAACTTCTTGCGGCGTTATTCGCACGCTGGTTTCACCATTTTGAAGATGCTCTCCATCGCAACTCCGACATCCCAAGGCACCCCTCAATCCTTCCTAGTACGAGTAGCACCTTTTGTGGCACAGGTAGCTCAGCGCTGGGCGGGATAGAAGAGCTCATGGAAGATGCCGCCATTCCTTGATGTCTCTCTTGCCGGGGCGGTGGGGAGTCAGGAACTCTGGGTTCTTCGGCTGTGCGGATACCCGACAGGAAGCTTCTCTGGTGAACCCTGGAAGCTATCACATATGTCCCGTACGATACAGCTTCAGGATCCCAGCAGATGCAATCGAGGACAGTCTCTAACCTTTCAAAACAAAAAATGAACCCCTAGAAACCAATGACCCTTTCCTGCATTGTATGACCGGCTATTTGGTGGCCGCAAGCCCGAGCAAGCACCACAGGTCTCCACGTCGGATGGATTCACGGCATACAGCGAACTCAGGAACTTAGGCTTCAGGCTTTAAGCTGCTTCAGAGATTTTCGGTCTTAGAGTTGCCGGGCTCCAGGGTTCATGGAGGGTAAGACCCTCCAGAGCCCAGGGTCCCGGGCTTCAGGAGCTCCAGGACGACGGAGACGTTCTGCTCGGTGCCTCGCGAAGACCCCGAGGCCCCGAAGAAGCACATTTTTGCAGTTTTAGGCATCCCAACAATCAGACTACAGGCCTGAAACATGATTTGTGAACGTGCAGGATAGGACCTTCTAGAACCTGACAGACATCCGCGCAGCGAGCCTGATAGAAACCCTTCCAGGAGCCTTTGTCATGTAAACATATCCCCCCATACGCCGCAAACTTCCCGACCTGGCCCCAGGTCTTCGAGCTGCACCCGGAAGGCCCTTGCAAAGTCCTCTGCAACGAGAGGGCCAGGGCAGGTCGCTGCTTCGGTAGAGTAGGGCCAAGGGTGTTGCGAAGTTTTCCCAAGGCTCAGGGTTTAGACTAACAGGGTAGGTCAAGGTTCGGAGTTTTTAAAGTTTAAGGCTCCAAATCCCAAACGAAGCAAGGGTGTCCATGTTTTCCCTCGAAACGTATTACGGAGATTCGGCTGCTGGACATACCCACACTTCTTGCAGCTGCCCCCCTTTTTTTTTCTGATTGCTTCCCAGCTGCGGGTGCCGACATCAATCAGCCCATTGGAAGGGAATTCCCGGGCAGTACTAAAGCATACTAGGTGGTCCTGGCAATCACTGCGCAAAGGCTGAGTGTTGCAGCCCCACACATTCATTCATGCAAGTTCGAGGCCAGCCACGTTGGCAGCTAGCCTTTGATTTGCCTGCACTGTAGCCGAAGCTATGATTACAGCACATCCATCTTCGACAGCCTGGGAGTGGCCCGTATGGCCAGGGAATATGAAGGCTATACTATTTTGGGGGCTCCTGAACACAAAGATGGTACAGCATACCCCAAACCCCGATTCTACTTGCTGCCGGCATTAAAACACGCTTCTGGCCTAGGGGTGGCTTGGAAACGCGGCTATCGCCACACACTCTCAGGGCCGCAGCGCCAAAAGCAGCGCGCGGCGGAGACCAGAACCCAGGGCCGGCCTGAGTGCTCCCATGGAGATCAATAAATAAACAAAAAAACACCCCTCATCTACTATGAAAAACTGCCTATGCATATGGAGGGCGAGAGAGAGCTGTATCTGTCTCGCTCTGTATATACATGTGTATGTATATGCATTACGTATGTATATTCAGTACTCATCTGTGCATACTCTGTCTAGATCATAGTTCTGATCCATATTCCCATCCTTTTGGTTGGCCTGATACTGCAGTGTCCCTTTGTCACATGGCCTTCAAAGTCTCTTCTGATTCTCTCTCTCTCTCCCTCTCTCTCTCTTCGGCTTCGGCTTCGGCTGCGAGGGTTAAGTCCGCCAGGCGGACCCGGGCCTCTTGGCCCCCCTCTCCCCACTGCGACGGTGGTAGAAAGGGCTTGTGGGGTCAAAGGTCGGAAAACGGAGACAAAGGTTGGTGTGAGCTGTGGAGTTTGCCTGGCAGGAACCCCCCCTGACCCTGAACTTTAGCCCTCATCCCGGCCTCATCACCGCGCCCCCTAAGGCTAGGTCCTAAGTTCCTGCGACAGGCAAAATCCCCCCACTTTGATCTAGCATACGGCGATCGTCCCCCAAAAACTGCAACACTCTGAGGACCGAGCAATCATGGTAATACAATACAGCGAGTAAGCAAGTATGTTCGTGGGGTCGTCACCAGGACTTGTTGAGGGGTCGCCAGCTTGTGGTGTACAACAACTTAATAGTAGGAGTAGAAAAGCAAAGTTGCGAGCTGGCCCCCCTGCTGCAAAGGTTTCCTTCTAGGTTCCTGTTGAAAGGCTGAGCTAAAAAGGTCATCCCCGAAGTGGTGCCGGCAAGTCTCTGACGCAATGCCAATTTGTGCAGATGCAAGGGCATATGGCCCTGTTGGTAGTTGGTCGGAATGGCTCCAGCGGCCCGTCATGAATTAAGCTCATCATTGTAAGCTTTTAGAAACACTGTTGAAGAAACTTCCCCCGCTCATTGCTTGTAGATCATGTCGTGGTATCACCCCGCATATGAGCTTGTACGCGTCTCACAGCATGCCACATGGGTCCAGGTAGTAGTCGGACCTGGTTGGGGTCGCGATGTGGTGCGCCCCCTGGTCGTCCTTCCCCACCTCGGCCTCGCTCTCGTCGTCTTGGGCTGCGGCTTGGTGGCGGTGGTCGCGCCCCAGCTCCCGTGGAACTGGTTACGCCCCCCTCGGTGCTCGGCCTTTCTGTCGCCGACGCCTTCTCCTCGTCTTCGCCCCAGTCCACTTCTTCTTCTTTGAAGCTCACCGTGGCTTCCGCAGTCGGGTTCACGCGGGCTGTGTCTGTTGAACGCCCCGCCTTTGTCTCATGCTTGGTCCGCTTCCCCTCCACTGCGCGTTGTTTTGCCTTCTTTTCCTTCTTCACCTTTTTGCTCTTTTTGTGCTCGTTCTTGTCCTTGTTCTTCTTCTCCTTCTTCTCCCCCTTCTTCTCCCCCTTCTTCTTCTTCTTCTCGGCTTTGCTGCTTTTCGTCCCCTCCGTGGGTGGTGCGAGCTGGTCCTTGAACTCTTGCTTTGCTTGGCTTAGCAACGCCCCCACCTGCCACGGGTGTTTGGCTATATAAAGAAGGAGCTCCTTGACGATCTTTGGGTTCCCCTCCTGGACGATGGCAACGAGTTTGTCAGCTTGTCTTCCGGTCTCTCTTCTCGCATTGTGCCTTTGCACATATTGCTCCCACTCCTGGGCGTTGGCCTCGTCGAGGATCTCCCCCGTTATGCGGTCTGTATAGTTCCCCGTTTTCCAGTTCTTCTTGACGTTCTTCCCGATCCATCGGTCCAACGGGTCTGGTTCATAGAGCAGAGCTGTCCCCTTCTCACTTTCGAAGCGGACGTAGTCGGAGTAGGGCCTTGTCTTCCCCGCCACTTCGCAAGTCCCCCCCCTTCGGGTTGGTAGAGGTCTTGCTCATCTGCCATGGCCCTCTGCTTCCGTATGTTGCTGGGTGCTGCCGTACTGGCAATCCCCCCAGTGGCCACGCGTTGCTTGTAGCACGAGGCGCCACTGTCGTGGCTTTTGTGGCAAAAGGGTCCTTCAAGGCATGCTCGACATGTCACCCCCATGGCCTTCAGTTTCTCCGCAAGTGCACACTGCTCCTGCCAGGTCGTCTTTGTTCTGCCTGGCTTTGCCGATGGGTCTCTTTCCATTCGGCTTCTTCCTCCTCTGGGGCTTTCTTTCCCCCCCGGTTTGGATCTCGAGGAACTCGACATAGATCGTGAGGTGGTAGTAGAACGAGGTCTCCCCGTGGTCCGCAGTGCTGAAGTATGCTCCGTCCCCCTACTGGCGGGCCACCCTCCCGGAGGAGGGGCCGCGGTCAGGTTCGGGAGGATGCGCTGGCAAAGGGGCCTCTTAAGCAAGACGGCAGCGGGCGGAGACTCAAGCACCACTGGGTCAAGGCGAGGGTGGCTCCTCCGGGTAACAGCCCAGAGTAACCCCCTGCCTCTCCCCCCCGGCACAAGAGGGCGGAACAGACCCCCAAGTACAAGGTGTGGCACTTGAGCCAAAATGGCTACTCTCTCTCTCTCTCTCTGCCGTTGCATCCAGAGGGTCTAGCAGCGCCAGGCATTGGCCTGCCGTATCTAAGGGGCTGACATCGGAGGCCACGCGGCCGCCAAAGCACATGCCTGGGGAGGGAACTTGGAGACTGCGTTTGAGCAGGATTGAGAGCTGAAGGGCTAGGATTTGAAACCCTCACTCTCGGAGAACATCAGGCAAAAAAGCGGAAACAGGGCCTGGAGGCATGAAGTTACATGTAGGTGTTGTCGTTGGTGCGCTGCACTTCGACATGTCTGGAGTTGGCAAATTGTGTGTGTGTGTGTATATATATATATATGTATGTATATGCAGTTAGAATAATACGTGTCTGAATCGACCCTACCACCAACAACAACAACAGGTGGATTCCTTTACCCCTGCCCCGCCCAGGGTAATTCCAATGCCATGTCGTGGTTTCCGCCTTGACGGTTTTCCCGCCAGCCCAGCTGACTTAAGGTTAGGATTTCGACTCGATTGTTTCCCACCTACCGGGCATTTCGACTCGATTTAGGTTCAAGGTTAGGTTTCATTATGACTCGGGACGCCCCAGCTAAAGCAATGAGATAAGGAGATGCCACTCACATTGATTATAATACAAAAGCAAAGACGTAAAAGAAGCAATCATTACGAGGTTAAGCATTTAACGTCGAGCCGGCCTGGAAAAGGGTGCTGTAAGCTAAAGGATCGCCCTCCGACGTGGCCCAGCATTCCTGGCAGCTGAAGGCTGCAGAGCTTTGAGGCATCTAAGAAGGCAAGCTTGAATACAGTGAGCTTGGGTCTTGAGATGTGCGATCCGAGACCCGAGAACAGATTCTCACAGGCTGACCGTCTGGAGTTCGTCTAGCTGCAAACCCTGACGCCTGCAGCATGACGGCCCGCTGCCACTGCATGCCGAACTGGAAGGCCTTGTCGGGTTACCGGCGCGAGCACGAAAACATCATCCAAGTAGAGCCCTTGTTGTTCCACCTTAGGCATCAAGTAATCTTTGCAAGTTCCCGGCAACTCGGGCCTGCGCCAGGGAATTCAAAGTGATGGTGTTGCCCTGTAAACCAGCGTCCTGGCAGAATAACCATACTGTTGCACAGAGCTCCTTCCCGACTGTTGCGTTGGAGTCATGCAACTGCAACTTGACAGACTCATGCAGTGGGAGCTTCGCCTTCGATGCCTATTCTGAAGAGCCAAGACATCAGGCCGCAGCAAGGATGCGCCTGCAGTGACACCTGTATGGTCAAAGCCTGTGGCCAAGAAGCAGCAGTCGCCGACAAGGTTGCACCGAAGATGGCCACATCGCCTGCATGTTTTGTGGATGTAAGTAGACTTCAAGAAATTTACCATGGTAATGCTTGTCAGCAAGCGCCGGAACCAAAGTCCCGAATGCCATTTCGCTTCACTGGTTCTGAAATGGACCCATTTAGCATGCTTCGAGTAAGGGCGAGAGTGAGAATGTCATCACACATTCTCCTGTACTACACACTGCCTGCACATCAGAAAGCCTGTGACTGTGCGGAGAGGCGCACATGCCAGTCACGCACTTGTAAGTAAGTAGAGCTTTGGCGAGCCATGGTGATCCATGCGTTCATGCTAGAGTCAAGCTATGCAAGCATCGCTGATGTATGCAATTACCGACAAGGGCTGCTGTCCTACTCACCCCAATGTCCGAAACTAACAGTAATTCAACACTAGTAGTAATAGACTGGAGCAATCGTAAAGAACCTGCAAGACTGTCGCCTGGCTCCTCCAGCCCGCACCGGTGGAGCTGGGCAGCACGTTGCCACTGGCCCACCTCTTCAAGTGCAGGATTGTGCTTTTCTGTGTAATCTGATCCAGCACGGTGCTGCCTTTGGGATCCTCAAGACATGGGTCCCTGGGTTCCGGATGCCACCAGGCCCAGCCTCTGCACAGGCGGAGATGGCAGCCGTCTGGGCGGAGCCATCCTCGGAAACCGAAAGCCCAACAGCCTTTGCCACGATGCAGGGGGGACCCCTTCGGAATATCACCGCGGACTTTTGCCAACTCAGCTGCGATGGCACAGGGGCCGCTCGTTTTGAGCCTGTACAAGGCACTGGATGGTCCCTGGACCTCGCAATGTCTGCAGACTGCAATCGCCCGCGGAACTAGCTATTGCAGTCAGTGCAGGAGGACCAAGTAGCTGCGCAGCCGGCTGAATCCTAGTTCCTCCAGCCTGAAGTAGCACAAGTATGCTTGATCACGACAGTTAGACTGTGTTAGTTAGAATTGGAGTCGTATTGAAGAACACTCAAGCCCGCCGGCCACTGCAGGTCCTGCGTGCCTGGCTGTCATCCCGCGACAAGCTGCTACAGTACGCCTTATCCATCAGCCCGTAATCTGCACTGCCGTGCACGATCGTCTGCAGGGAGAGTACAGCCAGATGACGCAGGTGCCCCTTCAAAAAGAAGCTCGTCTCAACTCGTTGCATCCTCAGCCTGAACCAAAGACCTGGGCACAGTAGGGCAAGGTGCCTTTGTTTGCTGACTTTGCTTTGAGGTACACTGGGTGTGGTGGAACGTCCGCACTGCTGTTCGTGCGAGAAGTTGGTTGAAAACAAGGCAGCCGACAGTCTAGCGGCTGCTCAATGCAGGGCATCATTCGCCAGATTTGCTCAGCATCGTCAAGGCAAGAGGCCGTAATGAGCGCATGCGCGAAGCCAGCTCCGCCCAAACCCCCAACGGCATGCCAGTTGATCATCTCGATGAAGCCTGATGTTCGGAGGTTCTGATTTCGGCATGACTTCAATAGCTACCCCTACCCTGCTGAAGCATAATGCAAGCTCCAACCAAGCTCAAGCAGATGAACACTGAAGGTCTCTGTCAGAGAATTTCGAAATGATACTCGAAAGCGCTCCGGACGTGCCGAAACTCCTCTGCTTAGCCAGGAAGCCGGCTCCCGGTTTGTCGCCGTCCTTCACAGCTGCGAGCTCAAGGTTGGAGCTTTTGGGTCTTTGGGGTAGATCAACTAATCGTTTTATAGTCTACTGCTCGGTAGGGCGTGCTTTGCCACGCGAATGTTGGGGTGTTGAGGGTGAGGAGCTCGGGTCAAAACTGGGAGATTCGAGGATGTCAATGCTTCGCATTGAACCCTTTTCGAGGCTCAAGTACCGGCTGCCAGATACCCCGTCGCGCTGCTCTTACACCTGCCGTCCAAACCGCTCCACAAGCCCGACGTGTGGGATTTCCCTGCCAAGCAAAAGCTATCAGACGGAAGTGGCCTTGTCAAAGCGAGTAGGCTTGATGGTAGAGCCGAAGATCAATCCACCAATCTGTGCCATTCGCAGTGCACAGCACACGACTCGCTCTGTCTGCGTGGCGATTGGACTTCTACCGTCTCGGCAACATACGCACTCACCAAGCAGTCTTGCTCCAGTCTGCACTGGGCTCCGAGCGGAAACGATGCCGACGATAGCGCAGCCGCAAAGCAATCCGACCGTGGCAGCCTGTCAGAGTCCGCCAATGTACTCGTATCTTTCGCTAGGGTGCCCCGGCTCGAACATTGAGACGTGCTGATCAATCTAAAGACCCGAAAACCCGAGACATGCCAAGGCCTCAGGCGTGTTCCTCAAAGGGCCGAGGGAGGTGAACGGCCCGATCAGGAAATAGCCTGGGCGTTGCTTCAACTACCCTTACAACCCAGGAAATAGCCTGGGCGTACCCTTACAACCCCAAATTCTAAAATTCTCCCCCGTCCTAGGCCTGCGGGCTCGCCCCCCAGATGGCTGCAGTCGCAAGATCTTGGGGTCTGCTGTCACGAGCTTGATCCGGTACAGCTTTCTAGAACCATGAAGCGGCCCCTGAAAAGGAAATCGAGTCTGCAAAGCTGTCTTTCTTTCCTACGATTTCGCAGACGTGAAACCCTGAAACCTGGTGCATCTGCCTGGGTGTAGACTTGTAAAGAGGCTCCCAAAGCCTCCAAACCAAGTCCGCAGAACAGAGACCTCTTTGGGGTGCCAGGTCACCGTGCGCCATGCCAATCCTCAGTGGATGTCCAGGCTAGGCCGACGTTCACAAGCCGAAGCCCTCCTGCTCTCTAAGTACTGCCCGGGTAGCCAAAGGAGCAAATCTCCTGAAATCGACATCCCGGTCGATGCGCCCTACACAAGCTCTTCCTGACTAAAACTAATACCATAGACAGGTTCGAAACTATTATGCTTTGTATCCTCTTTCCAGACTTCACATCAGCGTCTCTATTGACACCCCCTCGAGAAGGCAGCCGCTTTAGGCAAGGATCTCCAATCCTCGCTGCCAGGGCTTCAAGCCCTCGCGGTAGAACGCCAGCGCCTGAAGTGGTTTGGGAGTTCCAAATAAGGCTCCTCTCGCCGAGACATGTTAACGCTCCCTCTTTGGGCATGGCAGGAGACTATACATGGTTTTGGCGAGGACCTCGTATCTCACATGCTCAGTGCCTCATGAACATCCCAGAGACCTAAACGCCTTTTTTGCAGCAGGCCTCGTTGTCCGGTTACAGCAACAGCCCCCTTTCCCCCGCTTCTGTTTAGGCCTGAACCCAAACCCAAGGCCCTTTTTGCAGCAGGCCTCGTTGTCCAGCAGCCCTGTTACAGCAAAGAGCCCCCCTACCTTGAAAACCGAAGACCCTGGAAGCCCGAAAGCCGGTCATAGTCGGAGCCGCACTGAGGAACTGCTTGGCGAAGAGTCCGTTCTCCGTCAAGGTGATGACCTGGTCGCCTGCAAAGGGCTCCTCGAAGTACAAAAATTGGTGAAAATGGTGGTGTGTCTTTTTTTTGCTGGCCCTTTTCCATCTGCATGGTTAGCGTTCAGAACTGTTGATGGGAAGTTGGGGTTTCCGGGTTTAAGGTTTACTCTGCGACTCGGAACTCAGCCAGGAGGGTTTCAGCACTTGCACTCGGACTTGACAGTCAAGGTTCCTGGCATAAGTAGTGCCATTCGAGTTTCGGGTTTAGGAGGGTTCATTGGGTGCGACCGTATAGGGGTCCAGCGATTCAAGTCTCAGGGCCATCATGGCGGGTCGGTTTTGACAAGACAACGGGTCCGATAGGTTTCGGCGGTTTAAACTAGGGTACGTGATCTGGGCATCGGCAGCATCGGTGGGCTCTTGCGCTCTTGCCACGAAGGAATCGCTGCCAAACAAGTTAACGTCACAGGCAAAATGCTTCACAGCCGCCACTACTGAATTAGTATTCTGGTGTGCATTTTCGGCGTCGTGCTGAGGATGCCATCGTAATGCACATGGCAGCTGAAACGCTTTGGCAATCAGGCTCTTTAAGCGCGAATCTCTGATGCTCCGCCCCGTCCTTGCCCTTCCACTGCGTGACAAAGCCCGTGAAAAAGTAGCCAGAAGGGCCCGGCACTGCGAAGGGAACCTTGCCTGCCAAATCGGGCACCACGAGCAGCTCCACTAGGGCTCGTGATATAAGGACACAAGCAGGCTTCCAAGGGTTAAACTGATGCTGCAGAGGATGGTTGCGAGACAGACTGGCATATGTGCGTGAAATCCAATTCCCGGTGAGCCTGACATCATCAGCTTCTCGTACTCCTCAATCTCCTCGATACTTCAAAGTGATGACATGCCACCCAACTAAGGCTACGTGCTATATGGCACTGCAGCGTTCGAGCCCTGATTTGTTTAGCAGCACTTCTGCACGAGTCAACTCCTCCCTCTTGTTAGCATTGGTTCTGCAAGACACCCCTTTGCAGATTACCTTTCTTGACGGCCCATAAGAAACCGGAAACCCAAGTCCTGCAGCTCCCGCTCAGAGTTCAGGCGGGTGGTGTCCTGGAGCGTTGCTTCTGGCTTGGGTTTGGAGGGTTTGACTTTAAATCTGTTTCACAGCACTGCCTTCCTTCAAGGTCCAAGTTAAACCAGTTCGGTCTCTATACCTGTGGCTGATGCAGCCTGATGCAAGTAAGCTTGAAAGGCATCTGCCAGCTGTTCCGCCTTATGTTCTTTCGAATCAGAACCAAAAGAAACACACCACCACAACCCGAGGGCAGCAGTCCGGCATGTCCATTTTCAGGCGGTAGTAGTCCTCGGTTCTCGAAAAACGGCGCCGGCCTTCAAATCACACCTGCCGCATCCACGAAGCCCAGCACCAAACAAAACCCTGGCTGCCTTCTGCTGGCAAGACTCCCACCAGCCCATCTTGGTGGCCTTTCCGGGGCCGTACATCTCCGCGAAGGCCTTCACCTAAGTCAAGTTTGCTGTTAGTTCCGTCACCGAAGGCCCTGCAGATGGCTGGGAGAGTTCAAAATATGTTCAGAGGTCGTTTCCGAGGTCCTGAGAGTAGGGGTGCGACGATGCCTTCATGTTGTAAGATCTTCCATCCATTTGAGAGAGTGGCCGTGTAGAGATAGCTGTCCTCAGGAGGGTTCTCCCACTGGTCCCGAGGTGTGTTCTTCAGGATCAGCTCCAAGGCATCCTTCTCCACGATGGTTCGTGGGATGTCCTGGGGTTGATAGAGTTAAAGTCAGGCATATGTACTATTCATAGGGGGCTATCGGCTATAGCTTCATACGGCATATACTATCTACGGGTGTATGCTGTACGGTATAAGGGTACAGTTTAGTGAAGTTTTGTGTTGCGCTGGGTAGGAGGAGTTTCAAGGCCCGGGAGACTGGGTCCTGCAGATAAGCGATCTTGGAAATGTCCGCCGTCTCCTTCACCTGAGCTGCTGCGGTTCTGTTGGGAATGTGGACGCTCAGCGGATCGATGCGAGGAATCAGGATAACACATATGCAATCACGCTCTCGCACACACAGACAAAGCTCTCCTAATTCTCTACTTGACTTGACACAAACCAACAGCAACCCGCGCCCCGAACCGAATGGGCAGTGCATGTCCGATCAGCAGTTCGAGAATCGAGGGGCCGCGATGTCAGAGCCCTGTGCGCGGCGTGCAGCAAGGCCCCGCCCCACAGCTACCTCGACAACAGTGCGTGTTGAATCGCTTCGGCTTCAGCTTTGCTGGCTCTTCTGCTTGGAGGTAGTCTTGCGTGCCAAGTACCAGGGCACCGAAGCCCATACCGAAGCAGAGGACGCCATGGGTGCCCAGAGCCTCAGAGCGTGGCAGCGCCCCAAGAGCTCGGATTGTGCGAGATGCCAAAGCGAGGCCTCGTGAGCAGAGGCAAAGGTGGCGGCACCCTTGGCGGAGGAGACGCGATTGTGCTGCGGTGCCTCAGGCGATGGATCCCCATCGGCGTGTTGCAATCGGATTCACTGCAGGGAGGCAGAGGCTTCGACCCCGTGGCCGGTCACACCTGCGGTGAAGGCGGGAGCCTCCGACAGCAGCAGAGTGGCGGCGCAGAGCACCTCGGAGCGCTCGTGGTGGTGGGGGCCTCTAGAACAGCAAAACTGGGACAACAGGCAACCTTGCGTCACTGCCAGAAACAGAAAAACATCATCTATGCATTCGGTATTAAACATTCAGAAGACAAGGCCGCATGAGTGCGAATACGGATCTATTATATACTTCTGCAACAGTATCGTACCGTGCAGGGGCGTCTGCGACTCTTGCAGCCCCATCTTTCAGCACAAGGTGCCGCCACCGTCAGAGCCGTGGACACGTTCAAGAATTCGCGCATGGCTCGCCAGCCGCGTTGGAAGAAGGGGCTATGGGCGCGACTGCTCAAGGGCTGCGAGGACCACCGTTCAGCGAAGCTTGCACGGACAAAACATACGCATCACCAAACATATGATATGGCTGATCAATCCAACTCGAAAAATTGCGAAGATGAATTTTTAGACCCGAAAACGTGGCACAGGACTGCACACCCTGGTCTCCCCCAAAGGCAACAGAAACTCAGGACATCCAAGGCCCCTGCCACTCGAAGGGCCGATGGCTTCAAGGTACCAAAAAAATCCATGGCCTGTTGGGGATTGTTCTGGCACGGGCCAGTTTTGAGTTCGGGCTTCGGAGGTTTGAGAGTTTGGGGTTGGCATGACTTGAAGAAACCATTACAGTTCTGACTTGTGACTTTGCTCTCACGATCACCTCACCTCTCGAATTGCTACTTGCTACCCTGCGGAGTTTGCAGCAGCCTTCCTTTCCCGAGTCGCACGATTCCAAGCCGATCGTCCAAGAGAGCCATGCCCTTGATACCAACACATGATTAGCAAGCAGCAACCTTGCAGGCACAGTCGCAGAAGCCAGGAGCCCTGAGTCGTTTCGGACGGCTGCGGACTGTCCAGACACAGCGGGCTCCTCACGTAGCCAGCTTCTTGGAGGCCATGCGGATGGCTTGGTGTTCTGTACAACGAGAGCCTCCTTTTTCGGGTAGCTCATGCTCTTAGACAAAGAAGGCACGTCCTTCGGAGTGCAGCGTGTGAATTCGTTGCGGGGCAGCGTTCTGTGGCCTACAAGGAGAGGCTGTCATTGACCTCCTCTTTCGTGACAGGCAGGCCGCGGCTTTGCCGGTTGCGCCAGTAAGCCAAGCTGTTCTTGCCCGAAAGGAGCTGCTGCACTGTCCGTGTCGCTGCGAACATGACACTGTTCAAGACAGTGGACAGGGCCTGGGCAGAGTAGGTCTCGTTGCCAACGGACTGCTTGCTAGAAGAAGAGACATCCAGGCAGATGTCGCTATGATACACTCGCACGTGAAGGTGGATGAAGCTCTCGACCAGATCGGACTTGTAGGCGCTCGTAGCCACCAAGACGATAGGAGCATGCGTCAGGGTCGCGTTATAGCTGCGAGCATGGACCATGTAGCTCCGGAGTCTGGCTAGAATGCTGGGCTCACGCACCATGCTTTTGCTTTGTGTGTGGACGGTTGTCTTGCCCACCTTGATGTACCGATCAAAGACCAAGATGTGCACGAGTCCAAGGCCCGGCGACTCCTTCTCGTCGGCCCAGGCCAGGAGGCTTTCTGCCACTTCGTCCAGCTTGTTCCTGAGGTTGAAGAGACGGCTGCTTCCTAGTAGCTCAGAGACGTGGCTTTCCAAGGACTCCCAGAAACGTGAAGCACGGGCTGAGTCGGAATGTTGCTGGAAGAGGGCACTCCACGTCTGGAGCTGCGCAGGAGGAGTGCACAGAGGAACGAGGCTCCACAACAGGCTTTCCTTGCATTGCAAGGCCAAGGGGTGGTCCAGGGTTGGCATGGGTCGGAAGCACGTATGGACGTGCTCCCGTGGATCCTGCAAGTCTCCCTGCATGAGCAAAGCCACCAAGCGGTAGGGCTCCAACATCTCCGGAAGCTCCGGGGCAGGCGTTGCCGCATCTGACATTAGGCAGCCATGTGAGGTTGGGCGCTATGTCGGAAGACCGGCTACGTGAGATTAGGCGGCTATGTAGAAGGATCGGGTAGGTGAGAGTAGTAGTGGCTATGTGGGGAAGGATCGGCTATGTGAGAGTATCACGGCTAGGTGAGATTAGGCGCTATGTCGGATCAAGCGTGGCTGTGTGAGATTGGACGGCTATGTGAGATTGCACGGCTATGCGAGATTGCACGGCTATGTGAGATTGGGTGGCTATGTGGGATTGGATGGCTATGTGAGATTGGATGGCTATGTGAGATTGGGTGGCTATGTGGGATTGGATGGCTATGTGAGATTGGGCGGCTATGTGGAATTGGATGGCTATGTGGGAGTGGATGGCTATGTGAGATTGGGTGGCTATGTGGGATTGGATGGCTATGTGGGCTTACACGGCTATGTGGGCTTACACGGCTATGTGAGATTGCACGGCTATGCGAGATTGCACGGCTATGTGGGATTGGATGGCTATGCGAGATTGCACGGCTATGCGAGATTGCACGGCTATGTGGGATTGCATGGCTATGCGAGATTGCACGGCTATGTGGGATTGCATGGCTATGCGAGATTGCACGGCTATGCGAGACTGGACGGCTATGTGCGACTAACGAGACTGCTATGTCCGAAGTACGGCTATGTCCTGCAAACTCCCCGTTCCAGCCTCTTCTTGACGAAGCCACGACGACGAGTCTGCTTCGTCGCGTCCACGAGCAAAGGTCGCCAGGGTACACGTGCTTCTTCCGGAATATCAAGGATCACGGACGAACACTGAGCTCGCTCTGGGATCATTTGACTTCGCATCCAGTTGTTCAACCTGACCGTGTTGGCGTCCATGCGGGCACGATCAAAGCGGTTCTTGTAGCCGCCGACAATGTGGTCGACTGCAGATGCTAGTGTTGCCTTCGTCAGTAGCACTCCCTTCTGTTCGGTCTCACACAAGCCCAGTTGGTAGACAAGAGCCAGGAAGTGACCTGCTTCATCCGGTAGCTCAGCTAGAGCGTGGATGGCTCGGTTCTCGAACTGTTCCAGAGGGATTTCAGCTGTCTGGCGGTCCACGGATGCCTTGCTCGGATCTGCATGCAGGTAGGGGTCCGTGGAAGCAACGGACGCAGCCTCCGGGGATGCAGCCAAGGCTGCCAGGGCTAATCGAATCTCGCTGCTCTTCGCCTCCGCCGACTTCGGTCTCACGAAGGCGAACCTTCTTTTCAGGGGTCCGCAGCTCCTCGAGCGACAAGTGGCGACTTCGGGGGGGAGTCTCGAAGACAGCTCCTCTCAATGTTCGTGGCTCTGGGTCCAGCATCGTTTCCTGCGAACTGTCCATGTCCATCTGGGTGGCATCGATCTGCGTCGCTGCTACTGCCGGTGCCGCTACAAGGCATGCTGAGCTGCTGCCGGCCGCCGAAGACGAATGCCTCTCCTCCCACGCAGCATCGCCGAACATCGGCATGTCCAGGGACACCGGATTCGTCTCCTCCGTCATGTCGAGCCCTGGCGCGTCGAGCAGCTCCTATAGCCCTGAACCCTCTAGTGTGCCAAAACGGCTGCATGGGCGTGATCTGCTCTGCAGAGATGTCGTGGGCATGTTCGTGCTCATACTGCCGAGGCATCAAGAAGGCTTGCAAAGCAACACGGCGCCTCTGCAAGAATCGCGGCGGGCCTGCGCGATGCGATGCGGCGCTATGTGGGAAAAGCTATGTGAGATTAGGCGGCTATGTAGAAGGATCGGGTTTAGGTGAGAGTAATAGCGGCTATGTGGAGAAGGATCGGCTATGCGAGAGTATCACGGATATGTGAGATTAGGCGGCTATGTCGGATCATACGTGGCTGTGTGAGATTGGTGGCTATGTGAGATTGCACGGCTATGTGAGATTGGACGGCTATGTGAGATTGGGCGGCTATGTGAGCGGACTATGTGCGACTGGCTATGTGGATTGCGGCTATGTGAGATTGGGCGGCTATGTGGGGGCCATGTGAGATTGGGCGGCTATGTGGGATGCGGCTATGTGGGATTGGCATGTGAGATTGGGCGGCTATGTGAGCTGCACGGCTATGTGAGATTGCACGGCTATGTGGGATTGGATGGCTATGTGAGATTGCAGGCTATGCGAGATTGCACGGCTATGTGAGATTGGAGCGGCTATGTGGGATTGCACGGGATTGCACGGCTATGTGAGACTGGACGGCTATGTGCGACTAACGAGACTGCTATGTCCGAAGTACGGCTATGTCCTGCAAACTCCCCGTTCCAGCCTCTTCTTGACGAAGCCACGACGACGAGTCTGCTTCGTCGCGTCCACGAGCAAAGGTCGCCAGGGTACACGTGCTTCTTCCGGAATATCAAGGATCACGGACGAGCACTGAGCTCGCTCTGGGATCATTTGACTTCGCATCCAGTTGTTCAACCTGACCGTGTTGGCGTCCATGCGGGCACGATCAAAGCGGTTCTTGTAGCCGACGACAATGTGGTCGACTGCAGATGCTAGTGTTGCCTTCGTCAGTAGCACTCCCTTCTGTTCGGTCTCACACAAGCCCAGTTGGTAGACAAGAGCCAGGAAGTGACCTGCTTCATCCGGTAGCTCAGCTAGAGCGTGGATGGCTCGGTTCTCGAACTGTTCCAGAGGGATTTCAGCTGTCTGGCGGTCCACGGATGCCTTGCTCGGATCTGCATGCAGGTAGGGGTCCGTGGAAGCAACGGACGCAGCCTCCGGGGATGCAGCCAAGGCTGCCAGGGCTGATCGAATCTCGCTGCTCTTCGCCTCCGCCGACTCCGGTCTCACGAAGGCGAACCTTCTTTTCAGGGGTCCGCAGCTCCTCGAGCGACAAGTGGCGACTTCGGGGGGGAGTCTCGAAGACAGCTCCTCTCAATGTTCGTGGCTCTGGGTCCAGCATCGTTTCCTGCGAACTGTCCATGTCCATCTGGGTGGCATCGATCTGCGTCGCTGCTACTGCCGGTGCCGCTACAAGGCATGCTGAGCTGCTGCCGGCCGCCGAAGACGAATGCCTCTCCTCCCATGCAGCATCGCCGAACATCGGCATGTCCAGGGACACCGGATTCGTCTCCTCCGTCATGTCGCCCTGGCGCGTCGAGCAGCTCCTATAGCCCTGAACCCTCTAGTGTGCCAAAACGGCTGCATGGGCGTGATCTGCTCTGCAGAGATGTCGTGGGCATGTTCGTGCTCATACTGCCGAGGCATCAAGAAGGCTTGCAAAGCAACACGGCGCCTCTGCAAGAATCGCGGCGGGCCTGCGCGATGCGATGCGGCGCTATGTGGGAAAAGCTATGTGAGATTAGGCGGCTATGTAGAAGGATCGGGTTTAGGTGAGAGTAATAGCGGCTATGTGGAGAAGGATCGGCTATGCGAGTGTATCACGGATATGTGAGATTAGGCGGCTATGTCGGATCATACGTGGCTGTGTGAGATTGGTGGCTATGTGAGATTGCACGGCTATGCGAGATTGCACGGCTATGTGATGTTGGGCGGCTATGCGAGATTGCACGGCTATGTGGGATTGGATGGCTATGTGAGATTGGGCGGCTATGTGGGATTGCACGGCTATGTGGGATTGCATGGCTATGTGGGATTGCACGGCTATGTGAGATTGCACGGCTATGTGAGATTGGACGGCTATGCGAGATTCCACGGCTATGGCTATGTGGGATTGGATGGCTATGCGAGATTGCACGGCTATGCGAGATTGCACGGCTATGTGGGATTGCATGGCTATGCGAGATTGCACGGCTATGTGGGATTGCATGGCTATGCGAGATTGCACGGCTATGCGAGACTGGACGGCTATGTGCGACTAACGAGACTGCTATGTCCGAAGTACGGCTATGTCCTGCAAACTCCCCGTTCCAGCCTCTTCTTGACGAAGCCACGACGACGAGTCTGCTTCGTCGCGTCCACGAGCAAAGGTCGCCAGGGTACACGTGCTTCTTCCGGAATATCAAGGATCACGGACGAGCACTGAGCTCGCTCTGGGATCATTTGACTTCGCATCCAGTTGTTCAACCTGACCGTGTTGGCGTCCATGCGGGCACGATCAAAGCGGTTCTTGTAGCCGACGACAATGTGGTCGACTGCAGATGCTAGTGTTGCCTTCGTCAGTAGCACTCCCTTCTGTTCGGTCTCACACAAGCCCAGTTGGTAGACAAGAGCCAGGAAGTGACCTGCTTCATCCGGTAGCTCAGCTAGAGCGTGGATGGCTCGGTTCTCGAACTGTTCCAGAGGGATTTCAGCTGTCTGGCGGTCCACGGATGCCTTGCTCGGATCTGCATGCAGGTAGGGGTCCGTGGAAGCAACGGACGCAGCCTCCGGGGATGCAGCCAAGGCTGCCAGGGCTGATCGAATCTCGCTGCTCTTCGCCTCCGCCGACTCCGGTGTCTCACGATGGCGAACCTTCTTTTCAGGGGTCCGCAGCTCCTCGAGCGACAAGTGGCGACTTCGGGGGGGGAGTCTCGAAGACAGCTCCTCTCAATGTTCGTGGCTCTGGGTCCAGCATCGTTTCCTGCGAACTGTCCATGTCCATCTGGGTGGCATCGATCTGCGTCGCTGCTACTGCCGGTGCCGCTACAAGGCATGCTGAGCTGCTGCCGGCCGCCGAAGACGAATGCCTCTCCTCCCATGCAGCATCGCCGAACATCGGCATGTCCAGGGACACCGGATTCGTCTCCTCCGTCATGTCGAGCCCTGGCGCGTCGAGCAGCTCCTATAGCCCTGAACCCTCTAGTGTGCCAAAACGGCTGCATGGGCGTGATCTGCTCTGCAGAGATGTCGTGGGCATGTTCGTGCTCATACTGCCGAGGCATCAAGAAGGCTTGCAAAGCAACACGGCGCCTCTGCAAGAATCGCGGCGGGCCTGCGCGATGCGATGCGGCGCTATGTGGGAAAAGCTATGTGAGATTAGGCGGCTATGTAGAAGGATCGGGTTTAGGTGAGAGTAATAGCGGCTATGTGGAGAAGGATCGGCTATGCGAGAGTATCACGGATATGTGAGATTAGGCGGCTATGTCGGATCATACGTGGCTGTGTGAGATTGGTGGCTATGTGAGATTGCACGGCTATGTGAGATTGGACGGCTATGTGAGATTGGGCGGCTATGTGAGCTGGACGGCTATGTGCGACTGGACGGCTATGTGAGATTGCACGGCTATGTGAGATTGGGCGGCTATGTGGGCTTACACGGCCATGTGAGATTGGGCGGCTATGTGGGCTTACACGGCCATGTGAGATTGGGCGGCTATGTGGGATTACACGGCCATGTGAGATTGGGCGGCTATGTGAGCTGCACGGCTATGTGAGATTGCACGGCTATGTGGGATTGGATGGCTATGTGAGATTGGGAGGCTATGTGGGCTTACACGGCTATGTGAGATTGGGCGGCTATGTGGGATTGCACGGCTATGTGAGACTGGACGGCTATGTGCGACTAACGAGACTGCTATGTCCGAAGTACGGCTATGTCCTGCAAACTCCCCGTTCCAGCCTCTTCTTGACGAAGCCACGACGACGAGTCTGCTTCGTCGCGTCCACGAGCAAAGGTCGCCAGGGTACACGTGCTTCTTCCGGAATATCAAGGATCACGGACGAGCACTGAGCTCGCTCTGGGATCATTTGACCTCGCATCCAGTTGTTCAACCTGACCGTGTTGGCGTCCATGCGGGCACGATCAAAGCGGTTCTTGTAACCGACGACAATGTGGTCGACTGCAGATGCCAGTGTTGCCTTCGTCAGTAGCACTCCCTTCTGTTCGGTCTCACACAAGCCCAGTTGGTAGACAAGAGCCAGGAAGTGACCTGCTTCATCCGGTAGCTCAGCTAGAGCGTGGATGGCTCGGTTCTCGAACTGTTCCAGAGGGATTTCAGCTGTCTGGCGGTCCACGGATGCCTTGCTCGGATCTGCATGCAGGTAGGGGTCCGTGGAAGCAACGGACGCAGCCTCCGTCCTGGCGCGTCGAGCAGCTCCTATATCCCTGAACCCTCTAGTGTGCCAAAACGGCTGCATGGGCGTGATCTGCTCTGCAGAGATGTCGTGGGCATGTTCGTGCTCATACTGCCGAGGCATCAAGAAGGCTTGCAAAGCAACACGGCGCCTCTGCAAGAATCGCGGCGGGCCTGCGCGATGCGATGCGGCGCTATGTGGGAAAAGGCTATGTGAGATTAGGCGGCTATGTAGAAGGATCGGGTTTAGGTAAGAGTCATAGCGGCTATGTGGAGAAGGATCGGCTATGCGAGAGTATCACGGATATGTGAGATTAGGCGGCTATGTCGGATCATACGTGGCTGTGTGAGATTGGTGGCTATGTGAGATTGCACGGCTATGCGAGATTGCACGGCTATGTGATGTTGGGCGGCTATGCGAGATTGCACGGCTATGTGGGATTGGATGGCTATGTGAGATTGGGCGGCTATGTGGGATTGCACGGCTATGTGGGATGGCATGGCTATGTGGGATTGCACGGCTATGTGGGATTGCACGGCTATGTGAGATTGGACGGCTATGCGAGATTGCACGGCTATGTGGGATTGCACGGCTATGCGAGATTGCACGGCTATGCGAGATTGCACGGCTATGTGAGATTGGACGGCTATGCGAGATTGCACGGCTATGTGGGATTGGATGGCTATGCGGGATTGCACGGCTATGCGAGATTGCACGGCTATGCGAGACTGGACGGCTATGTGCGACTAACGAGACTGCTATGTCCGAAGTACGGCTATGTCCTGCAAACTCCCCGTTCCAGCCTCTTCTTGACGAAGCCACGACGACGAGTCTGCTTCGTCGCGTCCACGAGCAAAGGTCGCCAGGGTACACGTGCTTCTTCCGGAATATCAAGGATCACGGACGAGCACTGAGCTCGCTCTGGGATCATTTGACTTCGCATCCAGTTGTTCAACCTGACCGACCTGACCGTGTTGGCGTCCATGCGGGCACGATCAAAGCGGTTCTTGTAGCCGACGACAATGTGGTCGACTGCAGATGCTAGTGTTGCCTTCGTCAGTAGCACTCCCTTCTGCTCGGTCTCACACAAGCCCAGTTGGTAGACAAGAGCCAGGAAGTGACCTGCTTCATGCGGTAGCTCAGCTAGAGTGTGGATGGCTCGGTTCTCGAACTGTTCCAGAGGGATTTCAGCTGTCTGGCGGTCCACGGAAGTCTCGGCCGTCGGACCTGCATGCATGTATGGGTCCGCGGAGGCGACGGAAGAAGCCGCCAAAAAAACAATCCAAGGATGTTAGGACTCTTCGAATCTCGCTGCTCTTCGCCTCCGCCGACTCCGGTGTCTCGCGAAGGCGAACCTTCTTTTCAGGGGTCCGCAGCTCCTCGAGCGACAAGTGGCGACTTCGGGGGGGAGTCTCGAAGACGGCTCCTCTCAATGCTGGTGGCTCCGGGTCCAGCATCGTTTCCTGCGAACTGTCCATGTCCATCTGGGTGGCATCGATCTGCGTCGCTGCTACTGCCGGTGCCGCTACAAGGCATGCTGAGCTGCTGCCGGCCGCCGAAGACGAATGCCTCTCCTCCCATGCAGCATCGCCGAACATCGGCAGGTCCAGGGACACTCCGTCATGTCGAGCCCTGGCGCGTCGAGCAGCTCCTATAGCCCTGAACCCTCTAGTGTGCCAAAACGGCTGCATGGGCGTGATCTGCTCTGCAGAGATGTCGTGGGCATGTTCGTGCTCATACTGCCGAGGCATCAAGAAGGCTTGCAAAGCAACACGGCGCCTCTGCAAGAATCGCGGCGGGCCTGCGCGATGCGATGCGGCGCTATGTGGGAAAAGGCTATGTGGCTATGTGCTACGTGAGAGTATCACGGCTATGTGAGGTTGCACGGCTATGTAGGAATTAGCGGCTATGTGAGACTGGGCGGCTATGTAGAAGGATCGGGTAGGTGAGAGTAATGGTGGCTATGTGGGGAAGGATCGGCTATGTGAGAGTATCACGGCCAGTTAGGATTAGGCGCTATGTCGGAAGACCGGCTATGTGAGATTAGGCGGCTATGTGGGACATATGTGGCTGTGCGTGGGGTTACACGGCTATGTGATGTTGCACGGCTATGTAGGAATTAGCGGCTATGTGAGATTGGGCGGCTATGTGGGAAGAGCGGCTATGTGGAATTAGGCGGCTATGTGGGATCAGGCGCTATGTGGGAAGACCGGCTATGTGAGCTGCACGGCTATGTGAGAATGGGCGGCTATGTGAGATTGGGCGGCTATGTGGGATTGGATGGCTATGTGAGATTGGGCGGCTATGTGGGCTTACACGGCTATGTGAGATTGGGCGGCTATGTGGGATTAACGAGACTGCTATGTCCCAAGTACGGCTATGTACGACGACGAGTCTGCTTCGTCGCGTCCACGAGCAAAGGTCGCCAGGGTACACGTGCTTCTTCCGGAATATCAAGGATCACGGACGAGCACTGAGCTCGCTCTGGGATCATTTGACTTCGCACCCAGTTGTTCAACCTGACCGTGTTGGCGTCCATGCGGGCACGATCAAAGCGGTTCTTGTAGCCGACGACAATGTGGTCGACTGCAGATGCTAGTGTTGCCTTCGTCAGTAGCACTCCCTTCTGTTCGGTCTCACACAAGCCCAGTTGGTAGACGAGAGCCAGGAAGTGACCTGCTTCATCCGGTAGCTCAGCTAGAGCGTGGATGGCTCGGTTCTCGAACTGTTCCAGAGGGATTTCAGCTGTCTGGCGGTCCACGGATGCCTTGCTCGGATCTGCATGCAGGTAGGGGTCCGTGGAAGCAACGGACGCAGCCTCCGGGGATGCAGCCAAGGCTGCCAGGGCTGATCGAATCTCGCTGCTCTTCGCCTCCGCCGACTCCGGTGTCTCACGAAGGCGAACCTTCTTTTCAGGGGTCCGCAGCTCCTCGAGCGACAAGTGGCGACTTCGGGGGGGAGTCTCGAAGACGGCTCCTCTCAATGCTGGTGGCTCCGGGTCCAGCATCGTTTCCTGCGAACTGTCCATGTCCATCTGGGTGGCATCGATCTGCGTCGCTGCTACTGCCGGTGCCGCTACAAGGCATGCTGAGCTGCTGCCGGCCGCCGAAGACGAATGCCTCTCCTCCCACGCAGCATCGCCGAACATCGGCATGTCCAGGGACACCGGATTCGTCTCCTCCGTCATGTCGAGCCCTGGCGCGTCGAGCAGCTCCTATAACCCTGAACCCTCTAGTGTGCCAAAACGGCTGCATGGGCGTGAACTGCTCTGCAGAGATGTCGTGGGCATGTTTGTGCTCATACTGCCGAGGCATCAAGAAGGCTTGCAAAGCAACACGGCGCCTCTGCAAGAATCGCGGCGGGCCTGCGCGATGCGATGCGGCGCTATGTGGGAAAAGGCTATGTGCTACGTGAGAGTATCACGGCTATGTGAGGTTGCAGGGCTATGTAGGAATTAGCGGCTATGTGAGACTGGGCGGCCATGTGACATTAGGCAGCCATGTGAGCTTGGGCGCTATGTCGGAAGACCGGCTATGTGAGATTAGGTGGCTATGTAGAAGGATCGGGTAGGTGAGAGTAGTAGTGGCTATGTGGGGAAGGATCGGCTATGTGAGAGTATCACGGCTAGGTGAGATTAGGCGCTATGTCGGAAGACCGGCTATGTCAGATTAGGCGGCTATGTGGGACATATGTGGCTGTGCGAGATTGGTGGCTGTGTGAGATTGCACGGCTACGTGGGGTTGCACGGCTATGTGATGTTGGGCGGCTATGCGAGATTGCACGGCTATGTGGGATTGGATGGCTATGTGAGATTGGGCGGCTATGTGGGATTGCACGGCTATGTGGGAGTGCATGGCTATGTGGGATTGCACGGCTATGTGAGATTGCACGGCTATGTGGGCTTACACGGCTATGTGGGCTTACACGGCTATGTGAGATTGCACGGCTATGCGAGATTGCACGGCTATGTGAGATTGCACGGCTATGCGAGATTGCACGGCTATGCGAGATTGCACGGCTATGTGAGATTGGACGGCTATGCGAGATTGCACGGCTATGTGGGATTGGATGGCTATGCGAGATTGCACGGCTATGCGAGATTGCACGGCTATGTGGGATTGCATGGCTATGCGAGATTGCACGGCTATGTGGGATTGCATGGCTATGCGAGATTGCACGGCTATGCGAGACTGGACGGCTATGTGCGACTAACGAGACTGCTATGTCCGAAGTACGGCTATGTCCTGCAAACTCCCCGTTCCAGCCTCTTCTTGACGAAGCCACGACGACGAGTCTGCTTCGTCGCGTCCACGAGCAAAGGTCGCCAGGGTACACGTGCTTCTTCCGGAATATCAAGGATCACGGACGAGCACTGAGCTCGCTCTGGGATCATTTGACTTCGCATCCAGTTGTTCAACCTGACCGTGTTGGCGTCCATGCGGGCACGATCAAAGCGGTTCTTGTAGCCGACGACAATGTGGTCGACTGCAGATGCTAGTGTTGCCTTCGTCAGTAGCACTCCCTTCTGCTCGGTCTCACACAAGCCCAGTTGGTAGACAAGAGCCAGGAAGTGACCTGCTTCATCCGGTAGCTCAGCTAGAGTGTGGATGGCTCGGTTCTCGAACTGTTCCAGAGGGATTTCAGCTGTCTGGCGGTCCACGGAAGTCTCGGCCGTCGGACCTGCATGCATGTATGGGTCCGCGGAGGCGACGGAAGAAGCCGCCGGGGAACAATCCAAGGATGTCAGGACTCTTCGAATCTCGCTGCTCTTCGCCTCCGCCGACTCCGGTGTCTCGCGAAGGCGAACCTTCTTTTCAGGGGTCCGCAGCTCCTCGAGCGACAAGTGGCGACTTCGGGGGGGAGTCTCGAAGACGGCTCCTCTCAATGCTGGTGGCTCCGGGTCCAGCATCGTTTCCTGCGAACTGTCCATGTCCATCTGGGTGGCATCGATCTGCGTCGCTGCTACTGCCGGTGCCGCTACAAGGCATGCTGAGCTGCTGCCGGCCGCCGAAGACGAATGCCTCTCCTCCCATGCAGCATCGCCGAACATCGGCATGTCCAGGGACACCGGATTCGTCTCCTCCGTCATGTCGAGCCCTGGCGCGTCGAGCAGCTCCTATAGCCCTGAACCCTCTAGTGTGCCAAAACGGCTGCATGGGCGTGATCTGCTCTGCAGAGATGTCGTGGGCATGTTCGTGCTCATACTGCCGAGGCATCAAGAAGGCTTGCAAAGCAACACGGCGCCTCTGCAAGAATCGCGGCGGGCCTGCGCGACGCGATGCGGCGCTATGTGGGAAAAGGCTATGTGCTACGTGAGAGTATCACGGCTATGTGAGGTTGCACGGCTATGTAGGAATTAGCGGCTATGTGAGACTGGGCGGCTATGTAGAAGGATCGGGTAGGTGAGAGTAGTCGTGGCTATGTGGGGAAGGATCGGCTATGTGAGAGTATCACGGCTAGGTGAGATTAGGCGCTATGTCGGAAGACCGGCTATGTGAGATTAGGCGGCTATGTGGGACATATGTGGCTGTGCGTGGGGTTACACGGCTATGTGATGTTGCACGGCTATGTAGGAATTAGCGGCTATGTGAGATTGGGCGGCTATGTGGGAAGAGCGGCTATGTGGAATTAGGCGGCTATGTGGGATCAGGCGCTATGTGGGAAGACCGGCTATGTGAGCTGCACGGCTATGTGAGAATGGGCGGCTATGTGAGATTGGGCGGCTATGTGGGATTGGATGGCTATGTGAGATTGGGCGGCTATGTGGGCTTACACGGCTATGTGAGATTGGGCGGCTATGTGGGATTAACGAGACTGCTATGTCCCAAGTACGGCTATGTCCTACAAACTCCCCTTTCCAGCCTCTTCTTGACGAAGCCACGACGACGAGTCTGCTTCGTCGCGTCCACGAGCAAAGGTCGCCAGGGTACACGTGCTTCTTCCGGAATATCAAGGATCACGGACGAGCACTGAGCTCGCTCTGGGATCATTTGACTTCGCATCCAGTTGTTCAACCTGACCGTGTTGGCGTCCATGCGGGCACGATCAAAGCGGTTCTTGTAGCCGACGACAATGTGGACTGCAGATGCTAGTGTTGCCTTCGTCAGTAGCACTCCCTTCTGCTCGGTCTCACACAAGCCCAGTTGGTAGACAAGAGCCAGGAAGTGACCTGCTTCATCCGGTAGCTCAGCTAGAGTGTGGATGGCTCGGTTCTCGAACTGTTCCAGAGGGATTTCAGCTGTCTGGCGGTCCACGGAAGTCTCGGCCGTCGGACCTGCATGCATGTATGGGTCCGCGGAGGCGACGGAAGAAGCCGCCGGGGAACAATCCAAGGATGTCAGGACTCTTCGAATCTCGCTGCTCTTCGCCTCCGCCGACTCCGGTGTCTCGCGAAGGCGAACCTTCTTTTCAGGGGTCCGCAGCTCCTCGAGCGACAAGTGGCGACTTCGGGGGGGAGTCTCGAAGACGGCTCCTTCAATGCTGGTGGCTCCGGGTCCAGCATCGTTTCCTGCGAACTGTCCATGTCCATCTGGGTGGCATCGATCTGCGTCGCTGCTACTGCCGGTGCCGCTACAAGGCATGCTGAGCTGCTGCCGGCCGCCGAAGACGAATGCCTCTCCTCCCATGCAGCATCGCCGAACATCGGCATGTCCAGGGACACCGGATTCGTCTCCTCCGTCATGTCGCCCTGGCGCGTCGAGCAGCTCCTATAGCCCTGAACCCTCTAGTGTGCCAAAACGGCTGCATGGGCGTGATCTGCTCTGCAGAGATGTCGTGGGCATGTTCGTGCTCATACTGCCGAGGCATCAAGAAGGCTTGCAAAGCAACGCGGCGCCTCTGCAAGAATCGCGGCGGGCCTGCGCGATGCGATGCGGCGCCATGTGGGAAAAGGCTATGTGCTACGTGAGAGTATCACGGCTATGTGAGGTTGCACGGCTATGTAGGAATTAGCGGCTATGTGAGACTGGGCGGCCATGTGACATTAGGCAGCCATGTGAGCTTGGGCGCTATGTCGGAAGACCGGCTATGTGAGATTAGGTGGCTATGTAGAAGGATCGGGTAGGTGAGAGTAGTAGTGGCTATGTGGGGAAGGATCGGCTATGTGAGAGTATCACGGCTAGGTGAGATTAGGCGCTATGTTTGGTGGCTGTGTGAGATTGCACGGCTACGTGGGGTTGCACGGCTATGTGATGTTGGGCGGCTATGCGAGATTGCACGGCTATGTGGGATTGGATGGCTATGTGAGATTGGGCGGCTATGTGGGATTGCACGGCTATGTGGGATTGCATGGCTATGTGGGATTGCACGGCTATGTGGGCTTGCACGGCTATGTGGGCTTACACGGCTATGTGGGCTTACACGGCTATGTGAGATTGCACGGCTATGCGAGATTGCACGGCTATGTGAGATTGCACGGCTATGCGAGATTGCACGGCTATGCGAGATTGCACGGCTATGTGAGATTGGACGGCTATGCGAGATTGCACGGCTATGTGGGATTGGATGGCTATGCGAGATTGCACGGCTATGCGAGATTGCACGGCTATGTGGGATTGCATGGCTATGCGAGATTGCACGGCTATGTGGGATTGCATGGCTATGCGAGATTGCACGGCTATGCGAGACTGGACGGCTATGTGCGACTAACGAGACTGCTATGTCCGAAGTACGGCTATGTCCTGCAAACTCCCCTTTCCAGCCTCTTCTTGACGAAGCCACGACGACGAGTCTGCTTCGTCGCGTCCACGAGCAAAGGTCGCCAGGGTACACGTGCTTCTTCCGGAATATCAAGGATCACGGACGAACACTGAGCTCGCTCTGGGATCATTTGACTTCGCATCCAGTTGTTCAACCTGACCGTGTTGGCGTCCATGCGGGCACGATCAAAGCGGTTCTTGTAGCCGCCGACAATGTGGTCGACTGCAGATGCTAGTGTTGCCTTCGTCAGTAGCACTCCCTTCTGTTCGGTCTCACACAAGCCCAGTTGGTAGACAAGAGCCAGGAAGTGACCTGCTTCATCCGGTAGCTCAGCTAGAGCGTGGATGGCTCGGTTCTCGAACTGTTCCAGAGGGATTTCAGCTGTCTGGCGGTCCACGGATGCCTTGCTCGGATCTGCATGCAGGTAGGGGTCCGTGGAAGCAACGGACGCAGCCTCCGGGGATGCAGCCAAGGCTGCCAGGGCTAATCGAATCTCGCTGCTCTTCGCCTCCGCCGACTTCGGTCTCACGAAGGCGAACCTTCTTTTCAGGGGTCCGCAGCTCCTCGAGCGACAAGTGGCGACTTCGGGGGGGAGTCTCGAAGACAGCTCCTCTCAATGTTCGTGGCTCTGGGTCCAGCATCGTTTCCTGCGAACTGCCCATGTCCATCTGGGTGGCATCGATCTGCGTCGCTGCTACTGCCGGTGCCGCTACAAGGCATGCTGAGCTGCTGCCGGCCGCCGAAGACGAATGCCTCTCCTCCCATGCAGCATCGCCGAACATCGGCATGTCCAGGGACACCGGATTCGTCTCCTCCGTCATGTCGAGCCCTGGCGCGTCGAGCAGCTCCTATAGCCCTGAACCCTCTAGTGTGCCAAAACGGCTGCATGGGCGTGATCTGCTCTGCAGAGATGTCGTGGGCATGTTCGTGCTCATACTGCCGAGGCATCAAGAAGGCTTGCAAAGCAACACGGCGCCTCTGCAAGAATCGCGGCGGGCCTGCGCGATGCGATGCGGCGCTATGTGGGAAAAGGCTATGTGCTACGTGAGAGTATCACGGCTATGTGAGGTTGCAGGGCTATGTAGGAATTAGCGGCTATGTGAGACTGGGCGGCCATGTGACATTAGGCAGCCATGTGAGCTTGGGCGCTATGTCGGAAGACCGGCTATGTGAGATTAGGTGGCTATGTAGAAGGATCGGGTAGGTGAGAGTAGTAGTGGCTATGTGGGGAAGGATCGGCTATGTGAGAGTATCACGGCTAGGTGAGATTAGGCGCTATGTCGGAAGACCGGCTATGTCAGATTAGGCGGCTATGTGGGACATATGTGGCTGTGCGAGATTGGTGGCTGTGTGAGATTGCACGGCTACGTGGGGTTGCACGGCTATGTGATGTTGGGCGGCTATGCGAGATTGCACGGCTATGTGGGATTGGATGGCTATGTGAGATTGGGCGGCTATGTGGGATTGCACGGCTATGTGGGAGTGCATGGCTATGTGGGATTGCACGGCTATGTGAGATTGCACGGCTATGTGGGCTTACACGGCTATGTGGGCTTACACGGCTATGTGAGATTGCACGGCTATGCGAGATTGCACGGCTATGTGAGATTGCACGGCTATGCGAGATTGCACGGCTATGCGAGATTGCACGGCTATGTGAGATTGGACGGCTATGCGAGATTGCACGGCTATGTGGGATTGGATGGCTATGCGAGATTGCACGGCTATGCGAGATTGCACGGCTATGTGGGATTGCATGACTATGCGAGATTGCACGGCTATGTGGGATTGCATGGCTATGCGAGATTGCACGGCTATGCGAGACTGGACGGCTATGTGCGACTAACGAGACTGCTATGTCCGAAGTACGGCTATGTCCTGCAAACTCCCCGTTCCAGCCTCTTCTTGACGAAGCCACGACGACGAGTCTGCTTCGTCGCGTCCACGAGCAAAGGTCGCCAGGGTACACGTGCTTCTTCCGGAATATCAAGGATCACGGACGAGCACTGAGCTCGCTCTGGGATCATTTGACTTCGCATCCAGTTGTTCAACCTGACCGTGTTGGCGTCCATGCGGGCACGATCAAAGCGGTTCTTGTAGCCGACGACAATGTGGTCGACTGCAGATGCTAGTGTTGCCTTCGTCAGTAGCACTCCCTTCTGCTCGGTCTCACACAAGCCCAGTTGGTAGACAAGAGCCAGGAAGTGACCTGCTTCATCCGGTAGCTCAGCTAGAGTGTGGATGGCTCGGTTCTCGAACTGTTCCAGAGGGATTTCAGCTGTCTGGCGGTCCACGGAAGTCTCGGCCGTCGGACCTGCATGCATGTATGGGTCCGCGGAGGCGACGGAAGAAGCCGCCGGGGAACAATCCAAGGATGTCAGGACTCTTCGAATCTCGCTGCTCTTCGCCTCCGCCGACTCCGGTGTCTCGCGAAGGCGAACCTTCTTTTCAGGGGTCCGCAGCTCCTCGAGCGACAAGTGGCGACTTCGGGGGGGAGTCTCGAAGACGGCTCCTCTCAATGCTGGTGGCTCCGGGTCCAGCATCGTTTCCTGCGAACTGTCCATGTCCATCTGGGTGGCATCGATCTGCGTCGCTGCTACTGCCGGTGCCGCTACAAGGCATGCTGAGCTGCTGCCGGCCGCCGAAGACGAATGCCTCTCCTCCCATGCAGCATCGCCGAACATCGGCATGTCCAGGGACACCGGATTCGTCTCCTCCGTCATGTCGAGCCCTGGCGCGTCGAGCAGCTCCTATAGCCCTGAACCCTCTAGTGTGCCAAAACGGCTGCATGGGCGTGAACTGCTCTGCAGAGATGTCGTGGGCATGTTCGTGCTCATACTGCCGAGGCATCAAGAAGGCTTGCAAAGCAACACGGCGCCTCTGCAAGAATCGCGGCGGGCCTGCGCGATGCGATGCGGCGCTATGTGGGAAAAGGCTATGTGCTACGTGGAAGTATCACGGCTATGTGAGGTTGCACGGCTATGTAGGAATTAGCGGCTATGTGAGACTGGGCGGCTATGTAGAAGGATCGGGTAGGTGAGAGTAATGGTGGCTATGTGGGGAAGGATCGGCTATGTGAGAGTATCACGGCCAGTTAGGATTAGGCGCTATGTCGGAAGACCGGCTATGTGAGATTAGGCGGCTATGTGGGACATATGTGGCTGTGCGTGGGGTTACACGGCTATGTGATGTTGCACGGCTATGTAGGAATTAGCGGCTATGTGAGATTGGGCGGCTATGTGGGAAGAGCGGCTATGTGGAATTAGGCGGCTATGTGGGATCAGGCGCTATGTGGGAAGACCGGCTATGTGAGCTGCACGGCTATGTGAGAATGGGCGGCTATGTGAGATTGGGCGGCTATGTGGGATTGGATGGCTATGTGAGATTGGGCGGCTATGTGGGCTTACACGGCTATGTGAGATTGGGCGGCTATGTGGGATTAACGAGACTGCTATGTCCCAAGTACGGCTATGTCCTACAAACTCCCGTTCCTACAAACTCCCCGTTCCAGCCTCTTCTTGACGAAGCCACGACGACGAGTCTGCTTCGTCGCGTCCACGAGCAAAGGTCGCCAGGGTACACGTGCTTCTTCCGGAATATCAAGGATCACGGACGAGCACTGAGCTCGCTCTGGGATCATTTGACTTCGCACCCAGTTGTTCAACCTGACCGTGTTGGCGTCCATGCGGGCACGATCAAAGCGGTTCTTGTAGCCGACGACAATGTGGTCGACTGCAGATGCTAGTGTTGCCTTCGTCAGTAGCACTCCCTTCTGTTCGGTCTCACACAAGCCCAGTTGGTAGACGAGAGCCAGGAAGTGACCTGCTTCATCCGGTAGCTCAGCTAGAGCGTGGATGGCTCGGTTCTCGAACTGTTCCAGAGGGATTTCAGCTGTCTGGCGGTCCACGGAAGTCTCGGCCGTCGGACCTGCATGCATGTATGGGTCCGCGGAGGCGACGGAAGAAGCCGCCGGGGAACAATCCAAGGATGTCAGGACTCTTCGAATCTCGCTGCTCTTCGCCTCCGCCGACTCCGGTGTCTCGCGAAGTCGAGCCTTCTTTTCAGGGGTCCGCAGCTCCTCGAGCGACAAGTGGCGACTTCGGGGGGGAGTCTCGAAGACGGCTCCTCTCAATGCTGGTGGCTCCGGGTCCAGCATCGTTTCCTGCGAACTGTCCATGTCCATGTGGGTGGCATCGATCTGCGTCGCTGCTACTGCCGGTGCCGCTACAAGGCATGCTGAGCTGCTGCCGGCCGCCGAAGACGAATGCCTCTCCTCCCATGCAGCATCGCCGAACATCGGCATGTCTAGGGACACCGGATTCGTCCCCTCCGTCATGTCGAGCCCTGGCGCGTCGAGCAGCTCCTATAGCCCTGAACCCTCTAGTGTGCCAAAACGGCTGCATGGGCGTGAACTGCTCTGCAGAGATGTCGTGGGCATGTTCGTGCTCATACTGCCGAGGCATCAAGAAGGCTTGCAAAGCAACACGGCGCCTCTGCTCTATGACTCCTGGGTTGTCAAGACATCGGCCATTATTCCGATCTCGGTGCTTGAATCCGACGTACCGCGGCAAACTACCACCGTCACAGTCCGCGAAACGCAAGGCCTGTCGCCATCGCTCGGCATCACCACAGGCGCAAACGGCAGCACTGTGGATGACGACCTCACTCGGGCTTGGGACTCTGGGGCCACGCGCAATGACGTCCGGATCCGAAACCCTCCTGTGTGTCTGTGTGTGCCTATAATCCACACTTCCATACTGCTAGCCACGAAGCATCGCTGCGCAGCTGCTTCGAGGGGAGCGCCGCAACAAGCTCCGTCGCCTGCCATGTCTGGCAGCACAGCAGCGCACTTTCACCATATCCGGGAGCAATAGTTTACATTGTTACATGCCGAAGGGCAGCTTCATGCATTAAAATTAACATATGTGCGCAGCCTGATTTTGGATCGTATGCTTAGGCCGGATGTTGTCAAGCCCAATCCCTTGAGAAGAGGACGAGGCAGAGGCCCGGAGACGCGAATAACACAACGATACCCAATACCGACAGCATGCCACGGGGGGTTATGTCGGTTATGTGATATGCGGCGCGCCTCTTCCCACATCCAAGCACGGGCTGCTCCACTCACCTTGGCAGTGCAAGCTCTCACGATCCACACCTCTGCCTGCTCCCTCTTCAATCCTGGAAACAGCGACAGCTTCGGATCGAGCCAGAACGAAAACAACTCCATCATCCCCCGCAAAGGTGCTCGCCTGAATGAGAACGCACCAGTGCAAGTGTAAGCTCTTCACAACTTCCAGATTCGAGAGCTCAAGGCTCCACATGGACACGAAGACACACTTCCAGCCAACTTCCAGCCCTCGCAGAGCCTCGACCCCGCCAGGCTCATGCATAGAGGAATTTTGAGATGGCTTCATCGCGCAAAATGCCACGCCAAAAGAAACGGCTCATGCACGCATAGGATTAGACAAGGTCCCCTACACCTCCTTAGTTGCAATGATTCTACTGGCTTGCAGCGCACACCCCAAAACCCTGTTCCAACACCTTATTGCGAGGTTCAGACCTGAAGCTCGGACACCTCAAAACCAAGCCACACAGGCACCGGTGCTGATGTGATCTTGCTGCACTGCCACCACCTGTGGGATTGTGCAGTGCTGCCATGTTCTTAGATATGGGCACAGGGCGTGGTTTGGGGCTTTCGAAGAGACTAACGAAACTGAATACTGTGGCATCTTCTTGCGTTGTGATATGCTCTTTGTGTGCTGACTGACGTGTTCGTGGGGTACTTTGTGCGTTTTTATGTGCTCCGATGTGTTCTGTGTTCCATATTGTCTGTTCTCAATATTCTCAATGGTATTCTCACGCGTCCTTGCTGCTGTAGCTTTATTGCGGCTGCCTTGCGTTGTTGCGCAGCTGCCCCCATCCGTAGACAAGTGAGGCTCGCCGGTGAAAGCCTTGGCCCCCCCAAGCCGCAAGCCTGCATTTCCTTGAGGAGATCGAGACCTCGGCTCCATGCGCCGCCTTGGCCTTAGTGAGGCATCACGGGAGACGCGCAGATTGCATCTTGTAGTTGTGCATTGTGGATGGTTCCTGAAACCTCTTTGGTGGGGATCCTCATGCTCATACCACATTTTCTGGAACTCCCATTGGATGAAGGACAATTGTGAAAGTTACTGATGCCTCTTCATGATGTGGGTGCTCAATGCTGCACGCCAAGTTGCCACAGACTCCAATGAGGGCATTGAAAGTGATGACGTTTGCCTGATTCGCACAAGGGGGCCGAACCCCAAACCGTAAAGCCCCTAAAACGCCCAAAGCCTTATGATGTTGAAATCTAAACGCCCATAACCCGGTAACCCTAAGACATGACATCTTCAATCGAAGACCTTGTGAAGCTCGGATTTTGCCAGAAGTAACGTAAGCCATGTGCTCCAGGTGTCAAGGTGGCTTCTCGGATTTAAGACTCTTCACCTTGCGAGGTGTAACTCCCTTCCTTCGGCATTGCTTCTGCGCTTGTGGAGTGTTCTGGGGCAATCTGAAGGTTTGACCCCTTTCGTGCTGGGTTGTGACTGGGGTTTCGGAGTCTTGTCGTGCGCATGAAGGATCAACACCTTTCGGGCTGTATTGCTCCTGTCAGGCAATCACTCCACATGCAGGTTTGACTCCTTTCGTGCTGCATTGCTTTTGAGGACACATGCTCCATGTTAAAGTGTGAGATTTGAGCTTTCAGGGCTGACGACTCAGATACCCTCACACACACACACACACACACCAAGCCCCGGACAAAGACTACCTCAAAAGCTGGTACCATGAACTCCATGACAGCCTTGGAGGGACCCAAGGTCCAAGAAAAGCTGCCTGCTGCGCGTCCTCTCTCTCTACAGTTGGCCCAAACCCAAAACCTCAGACTCTGAAATCCTGCAAGCTCCCCAAACCACTGAACCCCCAACAAAGGCCCCAGAATTTTGACGAGCCGTGCCTCTGCCTCAGATTTCGCCATGGACTCGAGGAGCGCCGCCGCCTAGTCGCACCACCACTACTGTACCTCTATCCGTTTGGTACGTGGGTCGCTCTCTTCCTCTTCCCACTCTGCAGAGTTTGAAGCTCGGTTTAGCCAGAAAGGCTTGTCATTTTCGGCGGAAGCAAGAGCAGTCGACAAAGGCTAAATGTACTCAACAGACTCCCACTGACATTGTAATCATTGCATCGTAACCAACACTTCTGTGAGCGCGACTCGCTCGGCAAGGCACCGCGGGAAACCTCCGATGAACGAGCAGATCTGCCCAAAGCCTGGGACATCCATCCTCCATCAAGCATTTTACATCCAAACCCCGCACCTGCTGCCACTGGCCTGCCAGCGAGCAAGCGTCGATTGCTGCGGTGAAAGAGACCACGGTCCCTGCCAGCACGTCGGGATGCGCTGTTAGTCTTGTTCGATTTTCAGACTCTGCTCTCAGCCTGCCAAGCTCCGGGTAGGCAACATCGCCAGCACCGCAAGCGCAGCCTGCTTCCCGATTGCCCGGCAACACGAGGCGATGCAAGTGCAGTGATGTCATGACGTGGTTTTCCGCACACTCTTACCAACCGCTAAACATGGAAGTTCGTACTCGTATCGGATGCACCCATTGATTGCGCACGATGCAGCATACCAAGAAGAAAGCTGTCAGACCAATGTCTAACAAACGCTGAGCTGGCTTGGTCCATAGCATGGACTTATTTCGACAATGCTGCTTGTCACAAGTCCCAGCACAAGGAAGGCCATATCCTGAAGAATGGAAGCAGACTGCAAACAGGACGAGTGCAAAATTCACGATGGACTTAGAAAGGAGGTGGTAATGCAACTTATACCGTAGCAGTAGCCTCATTGCGGCTATACACACAACACCTGACGATTTTGACACCAGCATTCGCAAGGTGGAATCGATGGCGGAGACGGCACGTTGCTGACAACCAAATGCATGTAGGGCGGCAGAGGAAACAGTGCGACAGGCGAAATGAGCGGAGGTGAAAGCAAGACTGGCAAAGCACATGCGCTTGGCAATCTGCAACGGGAACGAACGCCCAAGGCGCAATAGATAGCATATAGGCGAGCAGATTTTTGGCAGAGAGATACCCTCACGTAGCATACCCTTGCAGCTCGCAGTAGCCTTCGCAGCTATGCCAACATGTTAACAAGCTTAGGGGCACACATAAGATGAGCATGCAGGAATGGCGACAACAACATCAAAACACACACCGTGCAACAAAACATGGGCAGCATAGAACGGTGTTGGAGAAAGTATACCAAGCAAAGGGGCAACGACATGCAATCACATGTGAGTATCACGAGTACTCAGTATTGAACACGCAAAGGAGAAATGCGAGGAAATTATGGTGGATGCGATCGAGGCTTGCGCGACTGTCCACGCACGCACCAGTGGGAAAGCCTTCGAATCGATCACTTCGCAATCCAATACAGGGGCCTGAATAACTACAATACGTAGGGTTTTGGGGGGGTTATATTATACTCAAGTTATAATACGGAATCCGCCACAATTATATTATACTGTATACTCGTTTGGAATGAGGAACCCCCAACCGCAGCAGAACAGCGCCTCCCAGTGGCCCCGGCGAGCACAGGCGCCGAGGACTTCGTTGAAGAGGCCTAAACCCGATCTTGACGGAAGGTGCTCTTCTGCAGGAACCTCATCAAAATACCCGAAAGGCCCCAAAAAACAATTTGAGTATAGGATCTTTGTCGAAAAATATGTCAAGCGCCAGAGGATTCCACAGCTGATACGTTTCGCTGTCATGCCAAGTTCCTTGAGGTTTGGTCCGCTGTCGTCGTATCTTCACACCTCACGCCGAGCTGCGAACATCCACATCCAGGCGAAGCGCCAGAACCTGCGAGAGCGCAATCAGACTCGACCCATTTCACAGGGCCCCACAGTGGAACCACTGCAGGTCCGGATCGAGACGCTGTCAGACACTGTGTGTGTGTGTGTGTGTGTCTGTGTAAGTCAAGGCTTCCGCTGAACCACGAAGGGCCGGGCTTGGGTCAACAAGTCACCACTATTTTTCCATCCCGTTGAAGACCGAACAACTCTCAGCTTACTGCTCTTGTTTTGGGTGGGCAAACCCTTACCTTTCTCAGCTTGTAGCTTAGAAGGCCCAAAACGCAGCCCACATGTCATCGATGGCTGCTGATTAATCACACCGCTGTCTCGAAACATACCATAGATAAACCTGATTTCGATGTGTTTATAGTTTATAGTTCAATCTAACAAGTCTACTGCTACCGCTACACGGGGCCCCTGATTCTGAGCTAAAGAATATTCCATCAAGGGGTCTTTGCCATGCCTCCACCAGCATCGCCAGGGCCTGCGCCCAGCGCCCAGCGGCGGCCAACGCTGTGAGCCCGAGGCTCGCAACCGAGCCCTGGTCGACTGGACGTGGGAGCCGAGTTGGCGGGGTGGGGCACAGAAGTTCCTAGAGGGGTTCGCGGGTCTCGGTGGCACCAGCCCGGGAGCCACTGCACCCCAGCCCAAAGGACGGGCGGTTGCGCCAGGATCGTCACGACAAGCAGATGCAGTTCATGCCAGGCGGCACTGGGCTGCCTTATGTCCTGCAAAAGGGAAGTGCCACACAGACACCCCAGAAGAAAGAGTGTTATGCTTCGCCTGGTTCTGCCTCAACTTCACTCCGGCTATAATCGCAAGACCTCCTCCCAACTTCAATGGCAGAATCCGACATTAACTCTTGAGGGTGTCACCAAGCCTTGACTCGCCAGGACCACAGAACCGCTCCAAAGCCGGGTGCGTGCCTCCATCTGGCACAAGGCTCGGCGCCAGCTTCGAGCAAAGACGAAGGCGGACAAAGCCTTCGACACGGATCTTCGATTCCCCAAAAACACTCGGATCTCCGCTCAGACTGAAACACACGAATAGTCCGCCAAAGCTAGCGGGGCGGAGAAAATTGTGACGGTTGGAGTCGGCCCAGCCGCTGTAGGCATGACTTGAAAGGGCAGGGTAAGAGAGGGAGAGAGGTAAAAAAAGCACTCTGCCTGCAGCATGCTACGAGTACCAAGTTATTTTGCGACTCGCATGGACTTCTCCAACCTCGCTCCTCTACCCTCCCCAAACCACGCACACACAATTCCTACCAATTCCTACGATAGACCTTGAGCCCCAATTCCTCCTTCCAGGTCCGTCTTTCAGGGAGGCTTGCGGCAGAGCAGCGGCTCCATCTGTGATTGACGACTTCTGCAGGAGCTCGACTTCCATTTGGAGGAGCCTTTGCTTGGCTTTGTCTGAAACGTACCCATCAACCCTCTCACGTGGGGGGGGGGACGTATCTTCGGGGCAGAAGTACAGTTATCAGCAGGTAAGCCAACAATACTTCAACCTCCAAGTCGAGAAGAGACACTGCAACACTGCGTAGCTTCCCTGCTGTGTAAATACTCAATCCGAAGCGCTCGGAACGCCGTGAGATCTGCCATGGCTCTACTGCGATAAAGTTTGTGGGGATAGTATGGGGCCGGTTAAGTTGAAGCCTACAAAGAGCAGTGCCGCATAGGGATTGTCGGAAATCTGAGCAATCCGCAAGAAACATTCGGCACGACGAGCTGCAGCCCCACCGCTGTGAGCCAGTTCGCTGCCTTGCCAGCGGTGCTGAGGGCGGCATTCACCGCGATCCTTAGGAGCACGGGCATCTGCGAGGAGAACAATGACGTGGGGAGAGACAGCTAATCAGGCAGACACTCTTCTTTCGGAAAACTGGCTCTCTCCATCAAGTTCGCACCACTTAACTCCTGACCCTGAGTCCTCGCAAATAGAGGTTGCAGGTGTGGGCGTGTCAGAAACTGCTCCAGCATAAGCCCTATAAACATATAGACTCTAAATAGCAGGATTCTTTTAGTAATGACCCCGAACTCAAAAGACACCGCACCCCTCTAAGTGTGAGAAACTCCCCATGTGCAGCGAGGCTCGTGTTCCGCTGCACACCGGTCCGCGGAAGCCGACAAAGTAAGCAAAGGCTGCGTCTCCAGAGCCACGACTTCCTTTGTAACGGGATGCCCTGCCTTTGTGTTGAGGGGGGTGGTGGGGCGGCGTTATCGCTTGGATCCTACGACACGATGATCACCCTCTGGCCCTTCGGTCCGAACATGTGGAGGAGCCGATCCCTGGCATGCATGCGAATGATCGAAAACACACACACACACACACACACCCTTGCCCTCTGCGCACAAAACCATGTCAACTCAGTAAATTTAAAAAAACTCATTCTCTATCATCCACACGAAGCGTCGGTCCGTTCTGCCGTCCAAGAGTCACCAAGGAACCCAGGGCTGCAGTCGCGGCGACGGCGTCACAGCGGATGCGCATGAAGCCCAGCTCCAGAAATGCCTCCGCGGCCTCAACTGGGCAGGTCGTTTCCCGCCCAGCTGTTCGAACTGAAATGACATCGGGGCAAGCCGAAGGGCTACTCGCACACCGCCCTGACAGCACAACGACAAGTATCAACCAGTAAAGAGAAAGAGGAGCACAAGTGCGCTGAGCGATCTGAAGAGGACCTGCGATTGGGGTACAGAATTGCCCCGAACACTAAAACCCGCACAACCACATGTGTTCCCACCATTGTGATCAACTCGCACATTGTGCAGTGGATTACACTGCGTGGACCCTCTCCACGGTCATTACTAACAGAATGAGAACCAACAGAAAGGACCATGAAAGCTGAACCCGAGCGCGAAGGGTGTATTTTCCGGTTGTTTAGGGTGAGTCCGAGAGTCCGGCATGTCCTGAAACTTCCACAACTTGTTGATTCGGGTGCTGCGGGGTTTTGGCGCAGCCTTTCAGGGGCTGAGTGTTTCGGAAGGCAACATGATCTTAAATATCAAAGTACCCCCGAAACCCTGCTGACCTCGCCTGGACTTGCCGGGAGTGAATCAAAAAGCTTGACATAGCTTGACATTCCATGCCCGAAACTCCGAAAGAAAGTCTTGCATAAGCGCAAAATTGCCGCAACAAGCCCCAAAACCTGCTCACCGGAGCAGGCCGATGCCGAGACCGACATCCACAACCCAACACCAGATGGTTGCGCGATGGTGGTAGTACTGGTAGTAGTAGCAGTAGTAGTAGCACATCACTCCACCAGTAAGACTGCACGCGGAGGAGCCTGGGGCCACTGCGAGGCTTCGCCCAGAGCACCGCAGGCAATGCTGTAGCTGGCCGCATCCAGCTCAAGGCTGCACTCCTGGAGACGGAAAACGCTGTGAGATCTGAAAACGTGGCATCAACTCAGACAAGGTCTTTCTTCCGTGGACTCCCTCGCAGGAGCTCCTGGCAGCGAAGTACCCCAAGGGCACCTCGCCACTGCGAGGCCTTGCCGCATGCCCCAGCTGCGGCATTGCAGGAGATGAGATTGCTCTCCTTGGTTTGGGCTTCTCCATGAAAGTCTTTCGTCTTCGGAAGAAGAGACGTTTGAGGCTCTGTTTACTGCGCGACTCTCGGAATGAAGGCCTCGGGGGCTTTCGAATCCCAGCTGCGATGAGCTCCAGCGCCCTGGCCCACTGAATTCCCAGGGCACAGGCGCTGATGGTGGAGGTTTTGGTGATGGTGTTGGGTTCCAGCTCCTGCAGCGTTGTTCAAGCACAGGCAGGGTCACCTTGCTGGGCACTTTGATTGAAGAATTTCTTTTCAGCTGTACAGCAAAATGGCATTGGCAGCCGAACCCGTGTCCATCCGACTCAGAGCCCTCTCCCGAAACTCCTGTTGCATCATCGCGTCGAAGAGAAAGAGGGACCAACCCCAATGTCCACCTTTCTCACAGGCGCCGATGACAGAAGACCACGTGACCTCAGCGCCGCTTGCAGTATGATACGCGATGATCTTCCACAAAAAAATTGCGGGTTCTGGCTGCTTTCGACAAAAGCCTAGTTCTTCAGCGGTCCGATACTGCTGGTGTCCGCTGCATGGCGACTCCAACTTCATCGTAAACTCAATGGACAGACGTTTCGGCCAAATTAAGAACCATGTTTCCTCTACAAGCTCGCGCGCACTCTCGAGTTCGGTGGTCTTCCCGTGTGTGTGCGCGTCCGCCTTCAGCAGCTCGTGCTTAAGGCTAAGCTTGCACTGCAGTTACAGTGCCGCGCCTGTTCTTATATGTCAATCGTGCTGCCGCCACAGCAAGGCTGGGACTGTTAGGTCGACTTTCACTGTTTCGCGTCTACTTTGCCATGCGAAACACCCTGATGATCCATCATGTATGATATCAACGACTTTACCACAATCCTGGCTGACAGGCTTTCGGTTGCTTACTTGTAAATTTTAAAAGGGGCGCTGGCGCCAGAAGAGGAACAACGACTGTACCCCAATCGTGGCTGACAAGTTTGGTCGCTTACTTTCAGGAGTCACTTCAAGAAGGGCGCCATCACCACCTAGGAACAACGACTGTATGCCAATCTTGGCTGACGGCTTTGGTTGCTTACTTTTAAAATGAGCGCCAGCACCACCCAGCAACAACGACTTTACCCAAATCCTGGCTGACAGGCTTGGTTGCTTCAAAATGGCACCAGCACTTCCGAACAACGCCGTTACCCCAATCCTGGCTGACAGGTTTGGTTGCTTACTTTCAAAACGGGCGCCAGCATCACCCAGGAACAACGACTTTACCCCAATCCTGGCTGACTTTACCCCAATCCTGGCTGACAGGTTTGGTTGCTTAAATGGCGCCAGCACCATTCAACATGGCACCAGCACCTCCCGACAACGACTGTACCCCAATCCTGGCTGACAGGTTTGGTTGCTTCAAACTGGCGCGCGAACAACGACTTTACCGCTTTACCCCAATCCTGGGGCTGACAGGCTTGGTTGCTTCAAACTGGCGCCAGCACCTCCGAACAACGATTTTACCCCAATCCTGGCTGACAGGTTTGGTTGCTTACTTTCAAGATGGGCGCCAGCATCACCCAGGAACAACGGCTTTACCCCAATCCTTACTCCAATCCTAGCTGACAGGTTTGCTTGCTTGCGTTTAAAATGGGCGCCAGCACCTCCTACCAACGACTCTCCCCAATCCTGGCTGACAGGTTTGGTTGCTTGCTTTTGAAATGGGCGCCAGAACCTCCTAACAACGACTTTACTCCAGTAATATACTACAGTGTACAAGAATTATACTGAGTATGGCTTCGAAAACTCTTTGCCCATGGTTTACCAGTCGAGATCTGCCTGCAAGAAATCAGGGGTACGGCCAAAAGCTCCGAGAGACGACATCCGGGATCAAGCTGAAAGATTGCATCGTCCCCAAAGCCTCGTTGCTGCTGCTGCTGCGACGCGTTGCTGAGGCAACGCATTGCTGCAGCTTCACTACCGTTCAGCGATTGCCGATGCACATGGAGAATGCATGGGCCGCAGTGAAGTCAGAATAAGCATCTTCGTAGTCTGCACGAGACACTGAACGATTCGGAATCCGGAAAGCCAGGAAAAGGAAGCAGGTTAGCGGCGACTGCATAGTTCCTACTTTCTGCACGCCCTTCATTTCTCATACAGAGGCTGTGATTCCATGTCCTCATAAAGCAAGTCTTTCTGTTGTGCGCTTGCATAGGCCCGTTTGGCAGCTGCTCTGAGTCTCAAGATGATTGAAAGCAAATTCCTCAAACCCGTATTCCTTTGAGCCCAGACTCTGTCCCTTTGTCCCCAAGCTCTAGAGCATCTCAATAACTAAAGTGAGCCGAGGAAGCCGAGAGCGCCAGCTGCCACTGCCCGGCACGCTTGCAGGCGGCGATGGCCGCGTTGTAAACGACCAGGCCGACCTAGTGAATACAGGATGACTCCCTTTCAAAGCTGTAGAGTTCGGGATGTCAGAGCTTTGGCTTTAGGGTTTCCTCGGCTTTTGGTGTTGTTCTTTTCCTTCAGGCCCGTCAAGATCTTGGTGTTTTGGTTTTGTACTGTAGGCTCTCCTTCCTCAAGTGGGCCGGCCTCCATGCACTCGGTCTGGAACTGCGAAAGTAGACAAAGGGCCACCTGCACAGAGTTCTCTCAACGAACGAAGAACCTGATTTTTGTGAAGCTGCCGGCTACTGTTCTAGGGAGTTTGAAGAGTGATCCTGGCATTTTTTGGTAAGTTTCTGCTTTGGGGAGATTGAATTAGGGGTGTCTTCTCGGGTTCTTACAGCTTCGGAGCAGCTCCCCGCCTCCCAGCGGCCGCCCCTGTCGCATGCACTGAGCACGGCACTCTGCGAGTGGCCGTTGCATCCTTCTCGGAATTGGGCTGCGCAGTCAGAAATTCGGGTGCTACTTGCGGAAGCATGTGCCTCCTGCGATGCATGCGCAACGAACAGCATACGAACAGTCCAATTTCCAACTGATACTTCTAATCCGAAATACTTGGTGCTGTAACAGTTCGAACACAGACACAACCAGGTGTCAGGTATGACACGGCTCTAACCAAGGCATAGGGCACATGACGCCAACCCTAGGAGAGCAGCCCACCTTCAATCTTCAACAACAACCGACGCGCGACAACCGTATACGGTTCCTCCAGTTTCTGCTCGAAGTCTTTGAAGCAGTGCCAGTGACGCCTGCCATTGGCCCTCCCTCGCACAGGCGACGAGCACCTGGGACCGAAGGATGTCCAAAGTTTGAGGCTTTCGAGCTTAAGACTGCTAAGGTGTAGGAGTGGAGGGTGTGGGGTTGAGGTTTTTGGTTTGGTCTTTAGGGTGGGGGTTTTAGGTCGAGGGTTCAGGTTCGGGAGATTTCGAGTTCAGCATGTAGTTTTCGACAAGGGATCTGAAATCGAGTCGACTGCGGTTGCGAGATCTGCACTCATAGCAGGAAGCACGATCGCAGCAAACCATGGCAACCATCTCACAAGAAAGCCGACAAGCCAAAGGGGCTAACGGTTAACCTGGCCATAAGTTCATTCCGAGCGCCGAATTCCACTTCGAACGGTCCAGGCGAAGCGACGCCGCCTCGGCCGCCGCCAAGTTCGCCAACAAACTCCGCCAGTTGGACCGGTGGGCCGGAGCCGTAGCGTAGGTAGCGCTCCGGAGCGGACTCGCTGCCATGGTCAGGGCTGTGCTGGCACTGCTGGCAGCCAGGAAAGGCTCTGACACTGGATGAAGAAGGGGGCGGGTACCGGGGTTTGGGGGGTTGGTGGCTTCTCGGGCTTAGGGTCCAGAACCCTTGCTGAAACGGCCGCAGAAGAGCCAGCTTGCAGCCGGGCTTGCATGGGCCAGCATCACTGCGCCACAATAATCCCCCAGCATGAGACCCGGCGACGACACCCAACGAGCTCCAAACACTCGAAATCTTGGGTGCCGTGTATCATCGTCTCCTCTGGCTGTAGAATCGACAGCTGGGGATCGTCTTTGCAGACTGCCTGGCATTTTCCAGGAGCTTGGGTCTGCGGGCGATCCCTCCCGAATAAGTGGGCCAGAACATTGGCATGCAGTAAGCATTTGTCGCAGGCGCGCCTCGATCTTCTCGTATGTGACCTGGGTCGATGAAGCTTTAAATCCCAGGCCTTTGAAAAAGCTGAAGCTGCTACGGCGCCCAAGCGCAAATCTGAAAGGACGCTTGCCCTCTGCGCTTTGCGAACATCCGATGCCTCGGAGTTTTTCTCGGAGCCTCGCAAGCCAGTGCTGGGCTGCGCACCGGCCCATCTCTCGCGCAGGACTTGACCCTGAGGCGGCGGTCGACTTTTATTTCTGCTGCTTCATTGCATGGCTTGCCTCATGTTACCCTCAGAGGTGAGGAGGCATTGAAGCAACAGACCGAGAGCAAAGCCAAGCTTGGAGAGGCATGCGGGTTTCGAGGCTCCTGTTGACTTGCTGCGCGTCACGGCCAGCATCCTTGTCTTTCCTGCCTAATCGCTTGTTAGTGTCTTCGTTCTACACAGCATCGTCTTCAGTGCCCTCACCAACCCCATCGCCGAGCTCTGGCCATTTTCTGTTCCCCTTTGTTTCCTACCTCCCTCCTCCACCACACCGAGGCAGCACATTGCTGGGAACCGCACTGACGCTCCATGCGGTCGCTGAGCCCTAAGCCCTCCTTGCCGGCCAGGGCAAGAGTTTTGCTTTTGGAGGAGGAAGAACACTAGGGCTTAGGGTGGACCAGCATCGGGTCATGGTGACTCGAATTGCAGATACGCACCCCAAAATCCACAGATCCAACTTGGCATGCCAACAAATCCCGGAACAGACCTGAAGCTTGTAGTGACCATGGCCCCAACTTTACCGCTCCGGTCATGCTCCGGTCCTCCAAGTGCTGCAGTCGCAAGGCATACACGATCGGGGACAGAACCTCCACCAGTTCCAGGATTCTGCTTGGCTTTAGACTTTAGAGTTTACTCTCGCTACTCGGATTGCATTTTCAAGGCTTTTAAGAGGGCTTTGTGACTCCTATGCCT